TTAATAAATACAAATTTCATAGGTACAGCTTAATTATCTTTATATACAGAAGATCAACTCTATACTAAGTAAAGATTTCAACAGTTTGCACCCACACAGACACACAAAGTATAAAGTACTGTTTGAAGACAAGTTTTACCATTAATTCTCATAGTACAACACATTAAGGACAGAGGTCCTACATGGGGAGCAAGTGCACAGTGACTCCTGTTGTTGATTTTAACAATTGACACTCTTATTTATGACATCAGTGATCGCCCGAGGCTCTTGTCATTTTTTAAAGAAAAAAAAATCTTTCTTTAAAAACAGAAAAACTTCCAGTCTTGTTTCAATCCTGGAATTTTTCTACACTGCTTTCCTTAAATGCAAATAAGACTTAGATCTTAGAATGGGGTGTCAAGGGAAGACATTTGGTCTTGTGGTTATGATACTGATTAGGATGCCCTCATCCCACATCTGAGTGCCTGGGTTCAAATCTCAGCTCTGGCTCCTGATTCCAGCTTCCCGCCAAAGCAGACCCTGGGAGGCAGCATTGATGGCTCAAGTAGTTGGGCTTCCTACCATCCATGTGGGAACCTGGACTGAGCTTCCAGCTCCAGGCTTGCATTTGGGGAATGAACCAGAGAGTAAGACTCTCTCTCTCTCTCCCTCCCTCCCTCCCTTCCTCTCTCTCCTCCCATCCCCTCTCCTTTCCTCCCCTTTCAAATAAACTAAAACTCTTAAAAAAAAGAAAGAATGAAGTCTAGGTTTTTGTACCTACATGGTTTTAAATTTTAACCAAGAAAACTGTGAAATTATTTGCTTAGCATTAATGAACGAACAACATCATTTCTTTCTGGAAAACAAAATGAACTGACTGTGACTATTACATAAATTATGCTAATGCTTGATTTTTATTATCATTATTATTATTTTTAAAGTAAGAGTTACTGATTTACTTCTTAGGAGCTATCAGCATCACACAGTGCATGGTTATTTCATAACCACGGATCTGCTACCTAATTACAGCCAGGAGATATCAGTGTGACAATGTCAGCAATGACAAGGAAGACAAAAATGCAGTTATGGTTACTACAATTTAATCACCATAAAGATTAAGTGTTCAGATAAAACACGAAACCAAATGACAACTGGGTTATTTTATCAATGAGTACTAATAACTGAAATTAGTAGGAGGTAGCTATGTACTCTGAGCTCTCATTTTTTTCCCATCTCCTTATTACCACCTTCAACTTAGTAGCATCCCTATTTCTATTCATCTTACTCTTCAATTTCAGAAGATATTTTCTCCTATTTAAGGATAAGACCCCAATTTATATCCCATATTACTCCCTTCCCATCTCTTCTGAGATCATGCCCTGTTACGGACACAAAAGAGATCAACATGGCTCCTAGGACCCAAACCCAAACATCTCTAGGCTTTATTCTATTACTTTTTATCTCTATGTTTATTTTCTTTGTAGGATCATCCACTCCACGAGTGATAAATAATTTCTGTGATTTTGCTCTACTTCAAATACCCATAGGAATTTTCCCCCTAGGCATCCTCCCTCCCTATACTGAATATTTTAAAATATATATTTATTTGACAGGTAGAGAGAGATATATCTTTCATGTACTGGTTCACATTGCAAATGCCTGAAACAGCTGGGGCTGGGACCTGGAATTCCACCCAGGTGTCACACATAGGTGGCAGGGACCCAGGTATGTGAGCCATCACCTGCTGCCTCTCAGAGTAAGCATTAGCAGGAACCTGAAATCAGAAGCAGAGCTGAAACTTAAACCTACACATTCCAATAAAAGATGTGGGAGTCCCAAGTGCCCTCTTAACGACAGTGCCGACCCCTGATCCTGAATTTAACATCTTCCACAAACTCCCTTCTCAGCCACCAATGCCTCTCAGTACATCACAGAACTTTCTAAAATGGGAACTAGGCTACCAGCCCTTGACTCCTGCTTTAAAATAAATCCTTTACCAAATGACACTATCTAGCAAAAGGATTCTGTTGCCACATTATTCTAAAAAAAAAAATGCCTTTTTATATGGTTTTTCTGTTCCCTGTACAACAGATGGCTCCTCATTGTCTGCTACACAGTGTCCAGATTCCCCTATTTGGCCATCAAGGACCCCCGAAATCCAGCCTTTTTTCCCTGTTGTCATATAATACATGGTCCAGGGTTCTTTCTCCAAATCTCCTTGCTTCTGCTCATATTACACCTTCCCGCCTTTCAATTTCTTTCTCTGCCATCCCTCTTCGATGCAAACACATCATTCAACACCCAGCTCAGGAGTCATCTCCTCTGCACAGACTTCCCCAACAAGACTGGAATTCTACCTTTCTTTAGATTTTTACAAGTTTCATAGATAACTTCAAGATTCACTGATTTTAAATGTTGACCAATGAGTTCACCTTAGCTTTGCTCCTTAATTTAGATTGCTAATAACTTTTAGGCATTATTTTCTATACATGCACTTAAAAAGAGTTCTTATTAAGAACTTCTGATTAATTTATTCATTACTTAGCGGATAGTTAGAGGAAAACGCACCTATAAATCATAATATGTAAACTTGAAACTCTCACAAACTAGAAACGGAAGATAGAACTGAGATTATGAGAACAAACTCCTTCACAATTGCTTTTAATCTCTTTTTTCCATCTTCCACAAAATCTGCTTAGGCTTCCAAATAGCCCTATCTCGATTTTTCTCTCCTCTTCTTGTTACTGCCTGCCCTCTAGTGGAAGGAATTAGCAAATGAGTAAAAATTAGTCCAAGCACAGCAAAGGGGGGAGTCTCCAGTAACTCCTAATTGGAAAAAATCAGTAACTTTTATAAGGGTGAAGTGATTTTAATTGGAATAGAATATATAAGTGGAACATAAGAAAAAATTCAAGAAGACAATAGGTCTTGAAAAGAGAGGAGGGGTAGGCGCCGAGGCGCACTAGGTTAATCCTCTGCCTGAAGCACCGGCATCCCGTATGGGTGCCGGCTGAGTCCTGCCTACTCCACTTCCGATCCAGCTCTCTGCTATGACCTGGGAAAGCAGTAGGAGATGGCCCGAGTCCTTGGGCCCCTGCACACATGTGGGAGACCTGGAGGAAGCTCCTGGCTCCTGGCTTCGGATCGGCACAGATCCAGCCGTTGCAGCCATCTGGGGAGTGAACCAGCAGATGCAAGACTTCTTTCTCTGTCTCTCCCTCTCACTGTGTGTAACTACCTCTCAAATAAGTAAGTAAAGTCTTTAAAAAGAGAGAGAGAGAGAGAGAGAGAGAGAAAGTGGAAAGAGAGGGGAAGAATCAGGGAAGATGCCAGGTATATAGCTGGGAACTTTCCTCTGGAGTGAACAATTTTGGTTGTTTTTCTTTTTCCCCTTCAAATATTTTCTTAATAAATCTTATCTATGAACTGCCATATTGCTTGAAGTTACAGGCAAATCAGTTGACACAAAAGTCAATCAATAAACTGAAAAAAATGCTATGTGTAACACTGAAATATTGCTCTTTTGTGAATTTATGTTGTACAAAATAAGTTATTTCCATTTGAAAGTATTAATAACAAAATGGTTTTTGTAAAAAAAAATAAAAGGACAAATTCAGCCCTGAATTATTTTCTTCTCATTATTCTAAATCATTTCATGATAAATTTATTTTAATATTATTTTTCTCTCTCCCAAGAGTAATGGTGCAACTTGAGATAAACAACTCCTTGTTGTTACCCTGTCCAGCTGAGACCTGCACAGGTTTCTACAAGGGCTTTCTACAAGATCCCAACTAGTGACAGATTTAGATCACTTATGGTTTTTCTTAGTCTACTGAGTTTACAAGTAAGTACTGGACTAACTTCTTTTCAGTGATGTTATGAATTGCAGTTCTCTAGAGAAAAGCCTAATGGTCAGATATTGAGGAAATGGCCCAGCATGCAAATTGCTCAAGTGTTTCATGATGGCTACTGACATGCATTACAACTGAGGGTGACTCTGTCGCATACCAGTAATAGCTAACCTTGAACAAATCATTTCAACTCTCTGGGCCTTGGTTTCTACCTCTGTGAAATGCAGATATCTCCCATGCCTACTTCACTAGGTGGCTCTGTAGATCAAAGGAGAAAAAGCATGTGAAAATTATCAGCAGAAAGGCACAGTAGTAGCACATGGTCGCACCTCTTTGTGGGTGCTCACCGGTAAAATTAACACGTAGAACATAGATTGCTTTGGTGGAAGATAGACAACATTTTAAAGTCACCCAGAGGAGAGAAAAAAACACATTTTCTTCTTTCAATGATCAAACTGTGAAATTTAAACCCAACTATACTGTTCTTTTGCGGCTGCTCCATCTACTCAAAGTGAAACCTGAAAATGCCCTCCCACATCCACTCCTACCAACACTCTACAGTGAAACCAGGACGCCCCCACAGGAGCCCCAAGTTCTCTACGACTCCTACAGGAACCTAGACGTGTTCAGAGTATGCCCTCTAATTCAGAAAGTGTCTCCTAAAGCCCACACATCTTTGAGATAAATAGACACACATCACAGATGTGCCACCATGACTGTAAGAATATTGTGTTAGAAAAGCACCGAGTCATAGAAAATGGTAGAAAGCAGTAAACTTCTTGACTTGTAACACTAGCAGTGCCGACCTAAATGGCTTAGGGATGTTACTCCTTTTCTTTTAAGGTATGAAGATAAAGAGAACCCAGTTGACTTTGACCTACACTGGTATGATTTTAATTGTCCCTGCTTCATCCAAAACAAGGGTGGAAATAAAGTGGTGAGAGAGACAGCTTCTAGCGATGTGCATATTGTAGTAGGATAAAAATCAAATCAATAGAACAGAGAAGAAAATGAGGGTGATAAAATAAAATAATAAATCTTGGAATAACTCCCTATTGCTATGATTGTAATTGGCTCATGCTACCCCATAAGAAAGGCAAGGGAAACTCACAACAGGAGATGAGAACAAATCTTCCATCAATCATTTTCCCAAAGAGAATTCAGACTTACCAGCCACCAAAAAGACGGTTAAAATCAGTAGGAGCCATAAGTCAGAAGTTCTCCAAGGGCAGACCATGTCTGCTTTCTTTTTGTCAGCCCTTCACACGATACTTTTCCTCCATACAGGTGGAGAAGCAGCTGTGAGCATTACGAGGCTCCCTCCGGTCAACTTCTCAGTGCCGAATCCTCTTAGACCATCAGCAGTGAGGCACTCCCTTCCTTCAACACTATGTGTTTCAGCCTGATTAGTAACTTGGGAGAGAAGTAACTCTTCTGTGGAACTTGACACAGCAATAGATTTCCTGTACGAAGCACTGAAGCAAAGACGGAGGAAGCAGAGTGATTGAGCTGTCTTCCAGCTCATTGGTTCTCTTCTCATTTCTGCTGCATACAGATAAACTACACAGAGAGACACTGAATATGCCCAGGATAAACGGATTTGCCTAAACTTGCATTGAAAAAGAAAAAGGGAAATTTATCTATTTTGGTCCAATCCCTGTAAATGTCCCAATCACAGTAACTGCTAGAAGCTTTCTCCAAGTTAACAGGTGTACAACCTTAATGTCCAAGGCTGGATTAGAATATTTCCCCTTGAAAATGCCTTGTGAACTTGCTGTCTATAATGGAAGTCAGTACACACCTCTAGAAGCATTACAAGTGATTTTGTTTCTTATTGTGACTGAAACAAATTTTGTGGCTTTAGTGCAGCACAAATGTACTACCTACAGTCTGGAGATCAGAAAACTGAACTTGATCTTATGGGACTAAAATCAAGGTGACGGCAGTGCAGCATTCTTCCTACAGGTTCATGGGGAGACTCAGCACCTTGCATTTTCTACGAATCACAGGATGCCTGCATCCTTTGGCTTGTGGCTGCCTCATTCTGGCATCTGCTCCCTTGTCTCATCTCCTTCCCAAGAGGGAAGGCTCCTTCTGCCTCTCTCTTATAAGGACCCTTGTGATTCTATAGGGCCCACTTGTATAATTTAGAGTAATCGCCCAGTCTCAAGATCCTTAATTTAATCACATCTGTAGGGTCTCACTGGCCATGTAAGGTAACATATTCATAGGTTTCTGAAATTAGGACATGGACATCCTTTTAAAAAAAAAATGATTTGTTGTCTATTTGAAAGTCAGAGTTACAGAGAAGTGCCAGAGGCAGAGAGACAGAGACAGAGAGATCTTCCATCCATCATTGGTTCACTCTAAATGGCCACAATGGCCAGGGAAGGGCCAGGCCGAAGCCAGGAGCTAGGAGCTTCCTCCAGGTCTCCCATGTGGATGCAGCAGCCCAAGTTCTTGGGCCATCTTCTGCTGCTTTCCCACATGCATTATCAGGGAGCTGGATAGGAAGTGGAGCAGTCAGGATTCAAATCGGCTCCCATATGGGATGTGGACACTACAGGCAGAGGTGTAACCTTCTATGCCACAGTGCCAGATTGGACATCTTTCTCAGGGGGCCATTACCCTACCTACAATTCAGTACTTACTGCCATTCACCTTTGAAGAGTTAGACTGATCTTTTTAACGAGATTACAAATAAACACTCTGTAATTGCCACACCTCTGGAATTTAAACTTTCCAGAAAAATTTTTCTGTGATGTTACTAGTTAATATGCATTTAGATTACATTAACAGGATAGGAATCTCTTTATATGCTAAAAATTTCCTACCCCAAAGCAGTACTCTCCAGGAAGGGGAAGAAAACATTGCAAACAGGAAAAAGATTAAACAGCATGCATTTTTTTTTTCTAAGTTAGCAGTTCTATCTTCCCTCTTAAAAACCATTAGACTGTTTTCTCCTTCACCTTCTCAAGCTTTCCTTTCAGTGAATCAATTTGATTCAGACAGTGAAACCTGGTCCTTACGGGTGTAGAATACTGGGGAATGAGATCTGATAATGGATGGACTATAATAACATCTCTTCTGCCTAACGTTTAACTAGGTGTCAGAAAAATCAGGGAGGAGGAGATAGCATTTAGAATAAAGCACTCTGATTTCCATCACGAAAAGTGGTTAAGACCATGGGCTTTGATGTTCGATAGCTGGGAGACCCAGCGTTAAGTCACTGTGGGGCAATTACCAGGCTCATGATTCTGGGCAAATTTCTTAATCAACTGTACAACTTGGTTTTTCCACTTAATGTTACATTAGCATGGAACTTTTTCTCATCAAAGATTTGTTGATTGTCATTTACTTTATATATATGTTACATATAAATATGTGATATAATATGTAATATATGATATACTTTATATATCTGCATTTTAAATAAAATAAATAAGAATTTAAATTTAAAAAATAATATTCTTAAAATGGGATTGATTTTTTTAAAGGCTGGAAAAAAATATATCCCATGACAGTTAATGGTTATTTTTTATTTTTCATTATAATTTTGCAGATTGTGCAAAAAGAAAACTTTAGAAACAGTTATTTGAGGCTGGTGCCGTGGCTCAATAGGCTAATCCTCTGCCTTGTGGCGCCGGCACCCCGGGTTCTAGTCCTGGTCGGGGCACCGGATTCTGTCCCGGTTGCCCCTCTTCCAGCCTAGCTCTCTGCTGTGGCCCTGGAGTGCAGTGGAGGATGGCCCAAGTGCTTGGGCCCTGCACCCGCATGGGAGACCAGGAGAAGCACCTGGCTCCTGGCTTCAGATCAGCGCGATGCACTGGCCGCAGCGCACTGGCCGCAGCGGCCATTTGAGGGTGAACCAATGGCAAAAGGAAGACCTTTCTCTCTGTCTCTCTCTCTCTCACTGTCCACTCTGCCTAACAAAAATAAAAAATAATAATAAAAAAAGAAACAGTTATTTGAAACTAAATGTGTGCAATATCAAATAAGCAAATAAAACCAGGGCAGAAAAATCAGTAATTACATTTTTATTTTGCTAAATATCAATTCTAGATCTCAATGGCCATATTCATAGTAAATAATATTTGCCAATCTTTAAGCTAATACCCAGACTCTCTTCTAAGAAGTTTATAAATATTGCCTCATGTAGTTATTTGAAGAACCCTATAGTAAATACTATTATTGTCTTGTGTTGAGAAAATGGAATTCAGACAGGTTAGTTAAGTAGTGACAGAGACAGGATTCAAGCCTGAGAAATCTCATTCCAGTATTTCTCTCTTATGACTTGGTTATTTTGTCCCTCCTTTAATCTCTGCTTTTTAATTTTCTATCTTGTCTCCAACACATCACCCACACTCTTAACCCCTCCTAAATCTAATCATTTTTTCACGCACTCTTCCAGATGCACACTCTTACAACTGCATAAACAAATCTTGTGCTATCTCTAACCTATTTGCAATAAGATCACTGCCTGCTGCCCCCTGGAGGTAATTTGGTGAATTCAATACAAATCAATACTATCTAAAACAAATGTTAATGGATCTAAAGGGAGGCATAGACTCCAATACAACAGTAATGGGGGACTTCAATACCCCTTGCATCAAAGAACAGATCAACCAGGAAGAAAATCAAAAAAGAAATATCAGAACTAATCTACACTATGGACAAAATGGACCTAATTGATTTCTACAGAACACTGCATGCCACAGTTGAAGAATACACATTATTTTCATCAGTGCAGGGAACTTTTCTCCATGATACACCATATGCGAGGCCATATAGCAAGTCTCAGTAAATTCAAAAAAAATTGAAATCATGCTGCTTATCTTTTCTGACCACAATGGAATGAAACTGGAAATTAACAACTTAAGAATATCTGAAAAATATGGAGATTGAACAACACGTTCCTGAATGAACAGTGAGTCATTGAAGAAAGCAAAAGGGAAATCAAAAAAAAATCCTGGAAATGAATGAAGACAACAATACAACATATCAAAAGTTATGAGATACAGCAAAAACAGTATTAAAAGGGAAGTTTATGGGGCCAGCATTGTGGCATAGTGAGCTAAGTCTCCACTTGTGGCGCTAACATCCCATATGTGTACCAGTTCTAGTCCCAGCTGCTCCTCTTCCAATCCAACTCCTATTATGGTCTGGAAAAACAGTGGGAGATGGCTCAAGTCCTTAGGCCCTGCACCCATGTGGAAAACCCAGAAGAAGTTTCTGGCTCCTGGTTTCGGATCAGCTCAGCCCCAGCCGTTGCAGCCATTTGGAGAGTGAACCAGTGGATGGAAGACCTTTCTCTATCTCTCTCTCTTCCTCATTTTGTGTATAACTCTCTCTCAAATAAATAAATAAAATCTTTAATAAAAAAGGGAAGTTAATAGCAATTAGTGCCTACATCAAGAAATTGAAAAGATATCAAATAAATGAGCTATCAATACATCACAAGAACCTAGAAAAACAAGAAACCAAACTCAAAATTAGTAGGAGAAAAGAAAAATTAAAATTAGAGAAGAAATAAAATTGAAACCAGAAAATCAATACAAAGGATCAGTGAGATGAAAGCTGATCTTTTGAAAAAATAAACCAAATATACACACCATTGGCCCAACTAACCAAAAAAAAGGGGGGTGAAGACTCAAATCAATAAAATCAGAGATGAAAAAGGAGATGTAACAAAAGTTACCATAGAAATAAAAAGAGTCATCAGTAATTACTACAAATAGCTGTATGCCACAAATTGGAAAATCTAGAAGAAATGGATAGATACCTGGACACATAAAATCTACTAAAATTGAGTTGTGCTAACACAGAAAACCTAGACAGACCATTAACCAAGAGAGAGATGGAGTCAGTAATAAAGACCCTCCAAACAAAGAAAAGCCCAGGACCAGATGACTTCACTGCTGAATTCTAGCAGACTTTTAAAGAACTAATTCCAATTCTTCTCAAGCTATTCAAAACAACTGAAAGGGAGTGAATCCTCCCAAACTCCTTTTATGAGGCCAGCATCACCTTAATTTCAAAACCAGAAAAAGATACAAGAAAGAAAGAGAATTATAGACAAATATCCCTGATGAACATAGATGTAAAAATTCTCAACAAAATACTAGCTAATTGAATCCAACCACACATCTGAAAGATCATTCACCTGGACCAAGTGGAATTTAATCCTGGTATGCAAGGATGGTTCAACATACACAAATCAATCAATGTGATACATCACATTAACAAACTGAAGAACAAAAATCATACAATTATCTCAATACATGCAAAGAAAGTATTTGATAAAATATAATATCCTTTCATGATGAAAATCTTAAGCAAATTGGGTATAGAAGGAACATTCCTCAACACAATCAAAGCAGTGTATATGACAAACCCACAGCTAGCATTCCCACTAGGATCTGGAACCACACCAAGATGCCCAGTCTCACCCTTGCTATTCAATATAGTTCTGGAAGTTTTAGCCAGAGCCATTAGGCAAGAAAAAGAAATCAAATGAATACAAATTGGAAAGGAGGAACTCAAATTATCTCTGTTTGCAGATAACATCAATCTGTACATAAGGGAACCAAAAGACTCCAATAAGAGACTACTGGAATTCATAAGAGAGTTTGGTAAAGTGGTAGGAGCAGGATATAAAATCAACAGACAAAAATAAATAGTCTTTGTATAAACAGATAATGCCATGTCTGGGAAAGAACTTCTAAGATCAGTCCCATTTAAAATAGCTACAAAATACAATCAAACTATGCACACATACATACCTAGGAATAAACTTAACCAAGGAAGTGAAAGGTCTCTATGATGAAAATTACAAAACATTAAAGAGAGAAAGAGAACAAGGCACAAAAAATGGAAAAATTTTCCGTGTTCCTGGATTGGAAGAATTAATATCATCAAAATGTCCATACTACCAAAAGCAATGTAGAGATTCAATGCAAGCCCAATCATACCAATGACATTCTTCTCACATCTGGAAAAAACAATGCTAAAATTCATGTAGAAACACAAGAGACCCAAAATAGCAAAGGCAATCTTAAACAACAAAAATAAAGCCAGAGGCATCAAAATACCAGATTTCAAGACATATTACAAAATAGTTATAATCAAACTAGCCTGGTACAAGCACAAGAAATAGACATGTAAAAAAAAAAATAGACATGTAGACCCATGGAACAGAATAGAAATCCCAGAAATCAACCTATGCATCTACAACCAACTTATCTTTGACAAAGGAGCTAAAATCAATGCCTGGAGAGAAATGACAATATTTTCAACAAATGGTGCTGGGAAAATTGGACCTCTGCATATGGAAGTAGGAAACAATAGCCCTACCTTATACCTTATACAAAAGTCATTTTAAAATGGATCAAGAAACTAAATCTACAACCTGATACTATCAAATTACCAGAGTATAACATTGTGAAAACTCTGCAAGAGGTTGGCAGAGACTAAGACTTCTTGGAAACACCCCAGAAGGCAATCAAAGCCAAAATAGAAAATGCGATTACATCAAGCTGCGAGGCTTTTGCACTACAAAAGAAACAATTAGCAAAGTGGAGAGACAATCTACAGAATGGGAGAAAATATTTGCAAACTATGCAATTAATAAAGGATTAATATGCAAAATCTATAAGGAGCTCAGGAAACTCAACAACAACAAAACAAAGAATCTAGTTAAAAAAGGAGCAGGGACCCAGTGCTGTGGTGTAGCAGGTAAAGCCACCACCTGCAGTGCCTGCATCCCATATGGGTGCCTGGCTGCTCCACTTCCAATCCAACTCTCTGCTGTGGCCTGGGAAAGCAGAGGAAGATGGCCCAAGCCCTTGGGCCCCTGCACCCACATGGGAAACCTGGTAGAAGCTCCTGGCTCCTGGCTTTGGATCAGTGCCAGCTGTTGCGACCAACTGGGGAGTGAACCAGTGCATGGAAAACCTCTCTCTCTGCCTCTCCTCTCTCTGTGTAACTCTGACTTTCAAATAAATAAAAAAATCTTTAAAAAAAAGGGGGCAGGGGGAATGACTTGAACAGGCATTTTTTCTAAAGAAGAAATTCAAATAGCCAACAGACACTTGAAAAAATGCTCAGGATCTCTAGCCACCAGAGAAATGCAAATCAAAACCACAATGAGGTTTCACCTCACCCCAGGTAGAATGGCTCTCATGCAGAAATCAGAAAACAATAAATGCTGGCAAGGATGTGGGGTAAAGGGTACCCTAATTCACTGTTTTGGGGAATGTAAACTAATACAACCATTGTGGAAAACAATATGGAAATTCTCAGAAATCTGAAGATAGATCTACCATATGACCCAGGCATCCCACCCCTTGGACTTTACCCAAAGTGAAATCAAAATATGAAAGAGTCATCTGTACCCCCATTTTTATTGCAGCTCAATTGAAAATAGTTAAGATATGGAATCAACCCAGATGCCCGCCAACTGATGACCGACCGGATAAAGAAAAGATGCTATATACACACTATGGAATACTACCCAACTATGAAAAAGAATGAAATCTTGTCTTTTGTAACAAAATGGATGCAACTGGAAACCATTATACTTAGTGGAATAAACCAGTCTCAAAAAGACAAATATTGTTATGTTTTCCCTGATCTGTGATAACTAATAGAGTATTAAAAAATGTAATGTATATGAGCAAAATTGATGTTTTGAGATTTGATTATTATTATTTATAGCCCTTGTGTCTACTGTTTTTTTTTCCTTCTTACTTTTTGTTGAATTCTTTACTTAGTGGAGGGTTCAGCTTATAATTATAAATAAACTGAAAGTATGTCATTGTAAAAATTAAAAGAAAGAGTAAGAAGGGAAGGAGGAAGGAGGGAGGGAGCCTGGGCAGGAGAGAGGGTGGGGTGGGAAGTCTCACTATGCTTCTAAATCTGTACCTATGAAATACATGAGATTTGTTCATCTTATATTTTTAAATTAAAAATGTTTTAGTTATAAATTAATTATTATTTATATATAATTTATTTATATAATAATTAAATTATTAGTCATAATGATTGGATTATTATTTGATTGGATTGGTTGTAATTTTATTGAAATGATTTAACCCCAAGCAAAGCATCCTAAAGAGAGGCAAGTATCATCTGATCACCAAATACCTTAATTACTAAAGTCACAAAGGACCAAAAATTACAAAAATAAATATTCCATGATGACTCAAATGCAAGTACCTGAAATGACTCAGGCAGCATTAATAAATCAATGAGTTTTTCGTAAGTTTCTAGTAAGAGAATATGAAACATGAAAGTCATATCACTCATAGAGTCTAATATCTGCCGGTAATTTCATTCAAATTTCACCATGCCTTTCTCAGGGTAACGACAAATGTTCTATTGAGATATCATGCTTTCTGGGGCCGGCGCTGTGGCTCACTTGGTTAATCCTCCGCCTGCGGCGCTGGCAGCCCATATGGGCGCCGGGTTCTAGTCCCGGTTCTCCTCTTCCAGTCCAGCTCTCTGCTGTGGCCCGGGAAGGCAGTGGAGGATGGCCCAAGTGCTTGGGTCCCTGCACCTGCATGGGAGACCAGGAGAAGCACCTGGCTCCTGGCTTCGGATCGGTGCAGCGCCGGCCATGGCAGCCATTTGGGGAGTGAACCAGCGGAAGGAAGACCTTTCTCTCTGTCTGTCTCTCTCACTGTCTATAACTCTACCTGTCAAATAAAAAAAAAAATCAACCATTGAGGTTTATATCAGAGTATTAGTCTGTTTAAAAAAAGAGAGAGAGATCATGCTTTCATTATATCATTCTTTAAAGCTTTTGTTCTCATATTACGTATTTGACATGCTATCCATCTTTTGTGAGTGATGTCTTCATGTGTTTTCTGATGTAAATAATACGATACTGAAGATTGAATGAATTATAAGGAGTGAGGCTTACTTTAGCTCCTGGTTCTAGCTCAAAGTCTAGCAGCTGCATCTGGTGCCAGCCTTCTTGAGGCAGCACAAGGCATCGGGTAGTCGGACACAGGGTGTGTGAGGATAACTCAGCCAAACTGGCTCCTCTGGCAGATCTTTCTTAGATTAACCTATTAATCACATGAAAAGATGAATTCATTCACTAGTGCAGAACCTCTTAAATGTTCCCCCTAGTCTCTTCTTCTAATATCTCTTAATAGGGATTAAATTTCAATGAGGTCTGGAGGAAACAAACCATGATCAAATAACTGCAGAATATACAGTGTTTACAGTGAGTTATTGGAAAATAATGTAACTTGGTTGAACTCCAATTAGTTAATTTTAAAAGAACATCTCAATTTTTTTCCTAGTTTTGAGAATAGTGCTGTTAGGACTATGGATCCTAAAGTTGAACTTCCTGTATTCAAACTTCAGTTCTGCTACTTGATTTTTTGGCAACTTTTTTTCTGTTGTAGAAGGTCTATTTGATTCTGTTTTCAAATCTACTGTCATTTTTATATTTTATATTTCCAGGAACCTACAAGTGTTAGCCATTTTCAATCACCTAATCCAATTTTTTTTTTTTTTTTTTTGACAGGCAGAGTGGACAGTGAAAGAGATTGAGACAGAGAGAAAGGTCTTCCTTTTGCCGTTGGTTCACCCTCCAATGGCCGCTGCGGCCGGTGCGCTGCGGCCATCACGCTGATCCGAAGGCAGGAGCCAGGTGCTTCTCCTGGTCTCCCATGGAGTGCAGGGCCCAAGCACTTGGGCCATCCCCCACTGCACTCCAGGGCCACAGCAGAGAGCTGGCCTGGAAGAGGGGCAACCGGGACAGAATCCGGCTCCCCAACCGGGACTAGAACCCACCTAATCCAATTTTTAAGGACTCCCATGTTTCAGGACTTCAAGGGACTCAAAGCTAGGTTGCCACCTATACAATAAGTGATACTGTTGTCTACCTCCTCACCCCCTTCCCAAGGGGCTATCAAAAGCCCTGCTAACCTTTCAGCAGCTCTTCTAGATCAGTCAGCAAACATGCTAGGGCAAACTGGTTCCAAGTGCCAGACTAATCAATCATTCCTTTTTCTGGATCCTGACAAGGTAATTCCTTTTATTAAGATTTGTTTATTTATTTGAAAGTTGGAGACGGAGAGAGAAGGAGAGAGATCTTCCTTCTGCTGGTTCATTCCCCTGGTGGCCACAACAGCAAGAGCTGAACAAGGCCAAAGCCAGTTACCTGCTATTCCTAAATGCCGGCCCCCAGGTAATTCTTCATGACCTTGTTATATTGCTGATGTCTTCCAGAAACTTTTTTTTTTTTATTAATCTAGCTTTTCTACTTTCCTTCAATGGAAGAACTAGTCTAAATTTCTTAGTCTGACATCCACTTATATAAAAGTGTCCTCTTTTAATTCTTTACTTTGCCTTCTCTCTTATTTTAACTCAACGCTCATCTGCAACTTTTTTGTTGTTTGTTTGATTGTTTCTCCTTTAAAATATTTATAGAGGAGCAAGTTTAGAACACCGGCATCTGATATCACAGTGCCTGGGTTCGAGGGCTGGCCACTCCACTTGACATTCATCTGTTAATCCACACCCTGGGAGGCAGTTGGTAATTGATTTAAGTACTTAGATCCCTACCACCCCCGTGAGAGACCAGATTGAGTTCTCCGATCCTGGCTTTGACTTGAGCCAGCTTCAACTGTTGTGGGCATTTGTGGAAGGAAGCCGCAATGGTAGATATGTCTGTCTGTCCACCTCCTTTTGTCTTTCTGCCTCTCAAATAAATCAAAATCTCTAAAAATAATTAGATAAATTAAATATTTCTAGGATTTGGCCATTTCACACAATCTCCATGACATTGGACTAGGGGAGAAATGAGGAGGGATGGAATAAAGACACAAATTCAAAATTATAGTTTTTAAAAAGAAATCACTGTGTAGTATAACTTGAGGGCAGTGGCAAAAAGATAACAGATACCAGAAGCTTAAGAAGCCTTGGGTTTGGATGCGGTTCCATTCATTCACAACTTTCTTCAATCTGTTTTAGTTAAATCTTTATTCTAGTCAGTTGTATCACTGATTAAGTTAATGAGACATAAAAGATCTATGTTCCATGCATGAAATTTAAGAATATTAGAAATCTGAAGTCCTTTACTATTTTTTCCATAAAGTAATTTATTCTGCATTAACATCTAAGTTACAATTTTTTCTTGTCTGCTTTGACTCTTAATTCACATGCTACCAATAATTTTAGAGAGGTTTAATGATGATTTGAAAGTGTATCTAGGGGAATTTTCTGACGATTACTGTTATGATTATCTCACCTTGGGAAAAGAAGAAGTTAGGATTATGAAACTGTTGAAAATGTTTAGATGTTGCATGTTCGGTATCGAGAAAAGGAAGTAGATAAGATCTTTCTTTGATTTACTGTTTCTATATTTTACTTGGCTGAACATGATCAAGCAATTAAACCTATAAGTAGTAGTGCTTTTTCTAACGAATTTGCCCTATGTGTAAATAAACCAATTAAAACTGAGCTCCTGCAGGTGCTCTTTTAAAAGCACATGAGGGCAGATAAACCAGGGAGAAGCTAGCACCACAAGTTGCTCTGTAAACCCTGCTTCTTCAAAATGAGACCTCAGAGCCAATGGCACAGGAACCACAAGCAGCCTTTGGTCTTCAAACGTAAATCACTATTATGATATCCACCACCAGGCACCTCCATTCAGAGGGAGGTAAGAGGGTGTCTTGGGAGGCACTTTTGGGAGAAGGGATGTGGGCAGTGACATAAAGGACATCAATCTTTTGTCTCTGTCCACTGTACATTTATTAAATAAATCTCTTTTAAGAAAAGGTGTTTGTGGCTGGTGCTGTGGTGTAGTGCTCTAAGCCTCTGCCTGCGGCACCGGCATCCCATATGAGCACCGGTTTCTGTCTCAGCTGTTCCTCTTCCAATCTAGATCTCAGCTAACGGCCTGGGAAAGCAGTAGGTAATGGCCCAAGACTTTGGGCCCCTGCACCCACGTGGGAGACCTGAAAGAAACTCCTGGCTCTGGCTTCAGATCGGCTCAGCTCCGGCCATTGCAGCCATCTGGGGAGTGAACCAGCGGATGGAAGACCTTTCTGTCTCTCCTTCTTTCTGTGTATAATTCTACCTCTTAAATAAATAATAAAAATAAAAAAATTAAGATTGCTGGGGCTAGTGTTGTGGTGCAGCAAGTTAAGCCACCACCTATGATACAGAAAAGAGAGACAGAGACAGAGGGAGGACAAGAGAGAGAACAAGAAAGGAAGAAAGAAAGAAAATGTGTTTATAACTGCTTAAATTTGGTTTGCCTGTGTGAGAGGATTTTAAAGAGAGGGAAATAGGGGCCGGCTCTGTGGCGGAGCTGGTAAGGTCACCTCCTGCAGTGCCACCGTCCCTTATGGGTGCCAGTTCAAGTCCCGGCTGCTCCACTTCCAAAACAGCTCTCTGCTAGGGCCTGGGAAAGCAGTGGAGAATGGCCTGCATCCTTGGATCCATGCACCCACATGGGAGACCCAGAGGAAGCTCCTGACACCTGGCTTCAGATCAGCTCAGCTCCAGCCATTGCTGACATTTGGGGAGTGAACCAGTGGATTGAAGACTCTCTCTCTCTCTCTCTCTCTCTCTCTCTCTCTCTCTCTGCCTCTGCCTCTCTGTAACTCTGCCTTTCAAATGAATCTTAAAAAAAAAAAGCAGGGAAATAAACTACCATTACTGCTAAAGAAATTAAGCTTTCCTAGGAACATGCTGTCAGGTACTTAGTATTTATCTTGGGCCCATTTGAAGCAAATAACAACTCATCAATACTGGGACAACAGTACTGATTAGTAAGACTCAAGACACAGATTGGACTTTTTTGGGGGAGTGGCACTAAAATACTTTCTGAGCATTTTTTTACCTCGAATACAATCATATATTCCACTCTTATTCTTTCTCTGAAAGATATTCCCTCTCTTAGAGTATAAATATAAGGCAACTCAATTATTCTGTGAATACATAAATGTGTACATTTATTATTATAAACATTATTCAGTCATTTATTCACTCCCACTTCCTAGATCTCCTTGTTCTCCTCTGGATTTATTCCTCCAAACTTGCTTTAAAAAAAAAAGATTTATTTATTTACTTGAAAGTCAGAGTTACACAGAGAGAGAAGGAGAGGAAGAGAGAGAGAGGTCTTCCATCGACTGGTTCCCCAACTGGCTGCAATGGCTGGAGCTGTGCCGATCCGAAGCCAGGAGTTTCTTTCAGGTCTCCCATGTGGGTGCAGGGGTTCAAAGACTTGGGCCATCTTTTACTGCTTTTCCAGGCCATACCAGAGAGCTGGAGCAGAAGTGTAGCAGCTGGGACTCGAACCAGCACCCATATGGGATGCCGGCACTGCAGGAGGCGGCTTTACCTGTTATGCTACAGTGCTGGCCCCCAAACTTGCCCTTAAAAATGATTCACTATTGCCTTATATGTTTATGGCTCTTTATTTTATCATCATAATTAAGCAATGGCTTATTTATAAAGTTCTAGTTCGATCTTCATTTTCTTCAATACTTTATTCTTTTCTTATACATAGTATTACTACTCAAAAAACCTAATCTAACTGTTGGTGCTTTGTAGATGACCAGCATCCACCCTCTAGAAGCTTGAAGCATTTGCTTTTCACTCTCATCCTCTTAAATGTTAATTTAGTGTGTCTAGGTGCCAGGTTTCTATTGTCTAGTCTGTTGTATGAGCCCTTGACACCAAAGTCTTCTATCTTTAATTCTGTAATTTCTCAGTAATTATTTTCTGAAATATTTTCCTCCCTCCACTTATTTTAAGTGACTCCTATCACATTGATACTAAAATTTCTTTTTTTTTCATCCATACAGCTCTTAATGTTTTCAATCATCAAACAATTTCTTGGAATATATCTAACCTAATCATCCAGCTCATTTTGTTTTTTGGATAAATTAATTCTGCTATTCAACTATTACATTCACCCACTACTTGATTTTATTTTAAATTCTTTTTCCACCAGAGGCAATCACCCTGATTTCTTCTAGAATGATTTACTTTACCTTTCTGTTACCGCACCTGTAGGTTCATATAATGTGAGTCCAGGAGATCATTTCATAATGGTAGATCAGCTACCTTGGCAAATAACAGATACTTGGAGAGAAGAGTGAAAGAGTGAAAGTCTGAGCTCTGACTTGTACTAGGCTAGGCATTGCAAGGGTGCATCAGAGCCTGCGAACCACCCGGCATTGCATTCAGTCCCGATCATTCACGTTCCCTCCATCCAGGAGATCTTGCTTATCAGCCAGCCGCCTAGCACTTCTATACCTGGCATCATTCCTTTCTAGAAAGAAATCACAAGAGACACTTTGTACTTGATTGCCCAGTCCATGGAGGAGAGTTGTTTAGAAGGTTGGAGATGTTCCAGGATCTAGCTGCACCCAGTTCCAGCTAAATAATCCAGGGTTCAACCTACAATGTGCTGTTCACACCAGGTCAATCACTACATCCATGGCCCTGCTTTTCAGAGGCCCTGTACTTCACCTCAAGTGACTAAGGCAGCCGCTTTGATTACCATCTCATGCAACACATAGAATTCAAGTTCTCCCATGCTCTACTGAAATGACTGGAACAGCCCTGTGGTACTTTTATCAAAACTCTTAAGAAATCATTTTATTTAGAACAGAACCTGTAATATAACTTTACTGTAGTTGATAAACATCTCATTTTTAAAGTGTTTACCTTGTAATCTCATGTGCAGAAAAAAGCTAACATAGCAGGCCAGTGACTACTGTCTTTGGAAAGTTCTTTTTACAAGATTGGACCTGGGCTGGCTCCTGAGAACTCGACTGGTAAACAGTTCCTACACTGATAGATAACTTCACCTAAATGTTTAAGAAAGGCTCACTGTGCCCAAACCGTACAAACAATGTAGTTGATACTGAACTTCCTTCTGAGAATCTGGAATTTCGTGACTACAGTCAGTCACATGGGCACCAGTTGCCTACATGACCAGCCTGAAATGGACACGTGTTCTCCTAGGCTCGGCTGAGCTTTCCTGGTAGATAACATTTCACATGTGTTGTTACCAGGGAGTGCTGGCAGAATTGTGTCTTTTGCAACACCATGCTGAGAGGACTCTAAACTTGTGCCTGGTTTCCTACAAACTTCTCCTTGAACACCTTTTCCCTTTGCCAAATTCACTTTGTAACCTTTTACTGTGGTTATCATGGATCTCCATGAATACAATGAGATGCTAAACACTGTGTATTCTCCTGGCATATTATCCAATTTGGGAGCTTGTCTTGGAGAGACCTGACATATACAACCTGTGAATGAGGTTGAAATCTGAACAGATATCAACATAGGGTACCTATTGTAGACTGCTGCTGCCTCATCTCTTCAGCATGACAGAGAGTACACCATTCATTTCCAAAATGACAATGAGATATAAGTTAGAGGTATACAGTAGTATCTGTGGTTTCAATTTCCATGGTTTCATTTATTCATAGTCAACCATAATCTGAAAATACTAATTGGGAAATTCCAAAATTAAACAATTCATGTTTAAATTATATATTTTTCTGAGTAGCATCATGAAATCTCATGCTGTTCTACTCTGTCCCACAAAGAATATAAATCATCCCCTTGTTGGGCATATCCAGGCTGTATATATTACCTGCCAGCTAGTCACTCAGTAGCCATTTTGGTTCTTAGAACAATTTTTGGGGTACAGAAGTCATTGTGTAAATAAGTGACCCTTATTTTACTTATTAATGGCCCCAAAGTGCAAAATAAGTGAGTACAGAAAAATTCGAATCTGCCAAAAGAAACAAGAAAGTGATTCCTTTAAATGAAAAGGAAAACATTTTATCATAGGCATGTATGTATACTCATGGTTTCAGGCATTCACAAAGGGAGACTACTATATTTTAAAGTAAACTTGCCTACCAAAATAATTTCGCCTAATAGGTAATAAGAATTAAAATTTTAATTGATCAGTCAGAACAGCAAAATCCATGCTTTTTCCCAATGACATTTAAAAAAAAATACCTGACATAAGGAGTGAGCGTTTAGCCTAGTAGTCAAGAAATTGTCCTACACTGAAGTGCCTGGATTTGATTCCCAGCTCCAGATCCTGATTTCAGTTTGCAACAGTGCAGACCCTGGAAGACAGCAGTGAAGACCCAAGAAATTGAGTCCTTGCCTCATTTGGGAGAGATCAGGACCGAGTTCCTGGTTTCCAGAAATGGGAGTGGGAATTGCTGAACCAGTAAATAGAAGCATTCTTTTCTCTCTCTCTCTCTCTCTCTCTCTCTCTCCTGCTAAAATAAGTAAAAAGTTAAAAAGAGCAAGGTATAAAAACTGATAACTGTAACTAAAATGAAAACCATGAACTGGGACAGGTATTGTGGTGCAATGGGTTACGCCACTGCTTGGTATACCTACATCCCATATCAGAGTGCCTGTTCAAGTGCTAGCTCCTCCACTTCTGATCCAACTTCCTGGCAATGCAGATGGGAGGCAGCAGATGACGGCTAAAGTACGTGAGTCCCTACCACCCATGTAGGAGGCCTGGATGGTGTTCTTGGCTCCTGTCTTCAGTCTGGAATCAGGTATTTGTGGAGTAAACTAACAGATGAATGATCCCCATCCCCTCTGTCTGTCTCTGTTTCTTTCTGTCATTCTGCTTTTCAAATAAATAAATAAAGCTTTTAAAATACACACACATACAAAGTTAATGTGGTAAAGAGTGTTCTAGAATATTTTAATAGCCCTGGTATAGTAGAGACTCAAATATACAATTACAAATGAGAAAAATTAAGACTACTTAAAGCAATTATTTTCTCTCTTTTGATAAAAAAAAACAACCTGGAGGGAAGTAAATCTTTACTCCTCCTCCAGAACCCAAATATTTTAAGAACTCACCTCTCATATATGAGTAATGTCTGATAGTTGATCTACAAATCTCTTTAGAGAAAGGTTCCTAGAAAAAAAAAAAACAACTAAAATTGAAGATATTCTTTAAAGATATGATATAAATAAAAATAATATGTAATAATAAATAGTATATAGTAATAGTATATAATAAAGATTAATGAGATACAAATGAAACTCAGTGATTTGATGAGTTTCCAGAGAAGACCATGGGAAATATGTCTCTGCTACTTCTTAAGTAAATCTCAATAATAATGACCTACACCCTAATAAAGAAATTTATTATGGACAAGTCATAGGTCATAATATATGTGTGCCACAAATTTGTGTCAATGTGCGAGGTGCTGTGTAACGTAAATTTTTACAAAATGTTTCACAGAAAACTTGAGAAAAATAAACTAAATGCATTTTGATTTTGTTATTACAAGTTATTACAATAGAAGAAATTTAAGTTATATGTAGAAGGTTCTCACGTGTCACCTTCACATAAAGCCTATTCTTGCTTCCTTTTCTTCTTAATACAAGAGTTTGGAGTTTCAATCTGAATGTGAATAGTTTATCCCTAGTGTGCAGAGCAACTCTTGGCAAAGCAGGTACTCAAAAAATGTCAATTACTGTTGTTAAGACAGGAGGAAAGTGATGGTAGGAAAAGGGCTTATATAAATTGGCCACTGAAACCTAAACCATTACCTCTCCCTACATCTAGAAATAAGTTTTCCCAGTATTTCTGCCCTTGCTTCTGTCAGAGCATTCAAATCATGTCTAGGCTATGATGACAGTTAAAGCTGTGTATATGCTGTGCTTGCTGACTTCTGTTGTCTGCAATTCTGTCTACCTAGCTAGGCCTGAGCCACTTCCTTCATGTCTTAGTTGAATTTCCTAAACTTGACACCTGTAGCACTTGGATACAAACTGGAAACATCCTGGTTACAATGGCCATTCATTACTAGTGGTAGATATCACAAAAGGAACAACTGAGATGACCCTAATGGTAAGGTGTCACTGATCTACTTACCTTTTTCCGGTTCTCAATACCGGAACATGACAAAGGAAAACTATGGCATTTATGTCAGATGAATTTTAGCAATAACACATCATTTCTAAAACCTGTGTGTGAAGTATGTTAAACTTGTTCAAGTTGTGTTGTTTAAATTTGTTAAGTTTGTGGTTAAACACCTCCTCATCTGTCAAACTAGAAGGCACCTTTCTCATAAGGATGACTGACCACAGACACTACTGAATGGTAGAACATGCCAAGGGATTATCAGAGGAAAGCATTCCAGACAGAAGTGTACAGACAGTGGCAGCACAGTGTATGGCTTGTTTGAAAAACAGAAAGGAAGCCAGTGTGGCCACAATGGAGTAACCAAGGAAGAGAACAGTAGGCAATGTCAGATAAGTAAGGGTGGGAAGAGCATGATCATGGAGGGCCTTTCAGATTAGTGCAAGGATTTTGACTTTTCTGTGAATGAGACAGGAAGCTGTTGAAGGTTTTAAGATTATGTTTCAACAAGACCATGGTTGCTGCCGTGCTGAGAAAATACTAAAGGAGTCAAAAAGCAAAGGTATGTGACCAGTTTGGAAGACACCAGGTGGGAGACAATGGTGACTTAAGTCAGGGTGGTAGCAGAGGATGTGCTAAACAGTGTCAAATTCAGAGCATGTTTTGAAGGAAAAGCTATCAGCATTACTCATGGATTGAATGCAGGATTGAAGAGAAAGGAATCGAGAATTGCTTCCAAGAGTTTTGGGTTGGATCAATTAGATAATGGAGTTGCCTTCATTAAGATGGGAAAGGCTGCAAAAATGACAGATTAGTGGAGAATGAAAAAATACCAAGAATTCATTTCGCACATGGTAAAACTGAGATCTCTATTAGCATGGCTTTCTAGTCCATGGTCCTCACTTTCCCACCCTAGGACTAAAACTGCTCCCAATCTTAGCTCTGACCTAGCCCTGATATAGGAGGCTAGATCCTGACTCCCAGTCTATATCTATTGTCTGGGGTCCTATTGAAACTGTGGACAATAGCTGGCGCCGCAGCTCACTAGGCTAATCCTCCACCTAGCAGCGCCGGCACACTGGGTTCTAGTCCCGGTCGGGGTGCCAGATTCTGTCCCGGTTGCCCCTCTTCCAGGCCAGCTCTCTGCTGTGGCCCGGGAGTGCAGTGGAGGATGGCCCAAGTCCTTGGGCCCTGCACCCCATGGGAGACCAGGATAAGCACCTGGCTCCTGCCATCGGATCAGCGTGGTGCGCGGCCGCAGCGTGCCGGCCGCGGCGGCCATTGGAGGGTGAACCAACGGCAAAGGAAGACCTTTCTCTCTCTCTCTCTCTCACTGTCCACTCTGTTTGTCAAAAAGAAAGGAAGGAAGGAAGGAAGGAAGGAAGGAAGGAAGGAAGGAAGGAAGGAAGGAAGGAAGGAAGGAAGAAAAGAAAGGAGGAAAGAAAAAAACGGTGGACAATAAAGCATCCTCCTCCTCCTCCCCTTGCCCAACAGCAAGTTTCCCTTACCCACCTTAAGTACTAACAACCCCTAATAGTTATTCACCAGCATGTTGCATAGTAACCTCCTGCCCCATAATCGTTGTCTTTGCCAAATTTCTTTTTTTTTTTTTTTTTTTTGGGGACAGGCAGAGTTAGTGACAGAGAGAAAGGTCTTCCTTCCATTGATTCACCCCACAAATGGCTGCTATGGCCGGTGCACCACACTGATCCGAAGCCAGGAGCCAGGTACTTCCTCCTGGTCTCCCATGCGGGTGCAGGGCCTAAGCACTTGGGCCATCCTCCACTGTACTCCCTGGCCACAGCAGAGAACTGGACTGGAAGAGAAGCAACCAGGACAGAATCCGGCACCCCAACCAGGTCTAGAACCTGGGGTGCCAGCGCTGCAGGCAGAGGATTAGCCTAGTGAGCCACGGCACCCTCCTGTCTTTGCTAAATTTCTTCTGAGCTCTTAGGAGGGTCCCGGATTAAAAAAAAAAAAAAGCCAAGAGAGTAACCTCCTTGATCTGCTCCAAGATTGACTCAGGTGGACCTGAGGGTTACCTTATGGCCCATGATACTGCTAAACACAGCCCCAATGATGTCGTGGTAGCCAACATTGAGCCTGCAGCACATGTAGAAGCAGGAACTGTGAATGTGCATGCCCAGGGGACTCTGCAAACCCCCTTTTTTGCCCTTCCTACAGTGTCCCATCACCTGGTTACAACCAATTATGTTTCATTAAACCAAACACCATAAACTCCCCAACCCTTTTTGAATGAGATCTATTAGGGCCGTCCTTAATCTCCTTATTTGGCTACTTTGTAAATAAAGCTTCTTTTTCCCACTCTACTCCTCTCCGCGCCCCCCAAAAAAAGTGACTCCTGGTGTTTGATTCCCTGTGTGCAAACAGGGCAAGTCATCGCTCAGCAACATTTGTTCATAAAGACAAGACCCCCAGGAACCAAGAAACTGCCCACAACCAGACAGATTCAGAGGATGGCAGAACCCAGAGTCCTATGACAACATCCATCTACCCCACTTGAGACCTTTCCATACTGATTTGGTGGATTTTGATAACTCCCTTTAAACTCTACAGTTTCTACTGCAGCTCTGCAGTAGGTTAGTTCTCTTAGGTAATTCCTTGCAAGTCTAGCTTTCCTTTCTCTCACTCGTAGATCTCGCTGCTATCAATGTTTCATCTTTGGCCTTCTGCCTGCTTCAAAAATTAGAGAAGAATTTGATTCCATGTGTCCAAGGAAAACGTAGGCTGTTATTGACTCCAAACTCTTCCTGAACTTTTGTATACCTGATTTTTACATAGGTGCCTTTAAAAATGAAGCAAAACAGGGGGGAAAGATAAATAAATAAACTACTAAGCAACATTACTAGTCATATTTGTTTCTAGGGGACTATCTGTCTGACTTCCCAATCTTTGCATTACAAAACAATTTATGTTGCAGAAACTGTCCTATCAAATGATTCCAAAATGATTTGTCCTGTCAAACAATATTCAAAATGACTCATGATTCAAAGCTATGACTTACAAAATGAATACTATGGTGTCCATTAATCCCTCACCACCTCTAAAACACCTCTCAAAATTGCCAGAAGTCCTTTACCATCTATTTTGTTTCCAACCCTGGGGCTCTATGTTCCAAAAAATAAATTGGTACATATAAAAGCACTTCCAATGTTTATTAATTACACAATAATATATGTCCCCCAAACTCCTGGGTGTACATAATGTGTTTTATTATAGGGGAGTAAAACTAGGGAATGGAGGGGAGGCTCAAAGCTTATTGAAAAATAAGCAAAATTAGTTAATCAGCAGCAGATGAGGCTGCTGTATTAGTGCCCCTCATTAGTTCTAATCATTAATTTTCATCATTGTATTTATTCAATAATTGCCCTGTTTAATTATTGAACAACCTGGGAAATTGCTCAGGAAGCCATGAGTTACTGTTCCTTTTCTGTTTGTTGCTGTTTTGGAAGACATTATTTTTTCACACAGTACTTTGTGGGTTTTTTGTTATTTTTTTTTTACATTTATTTCCCCAAAGAAACCTTTTATTTAAGGAATACAAACTTCATGCATTTCATAAGTACAACTTTAGGGATATAGTGGTTCTTCCCACCATACCTGCCCTCCCAACCTTCCTCCTCCTCCCTCCCATAATCCCAATCCCGTTCTCCACTAAGATCCATTTCCAATTAACTTGATATAGAGAACAAGTCTATACTAAATAAAGAGTTCAACAATTTGCACAAAAAAGAAAAAATAAATAAATAAAAACATACATACATACCTGTTCCTCACCAGTCCAGACAAGGGCTGTTCAAAGTCATTGCAACTTGAAGTTAATTTCACTTTTTTTTTTTCTTAGAAAATCAACTTTAAAGAAGCACCCAAGAATGATACATCTTTTGCGAGCACTTGGACATGATTATAATACAACTCTTGAGGACAGAGGTCCTACATGAGAAGTTAGTGTACACTGACTCCTGTTGTTAATTTAGCAATAATACTCCTATGTATGACGTCAGTGATCACCAGAGGCTCTTGACATGAGCTGCCTAGGCTATGAAAGCCTCTGAATCCATAAACTACACGGTACTTTGAATTATTCATTTCACCAAACGATAAAATTCCAGCATTGATCGGCTTAAACTGCCAGGAGAATAAACTTTTGAAGAATGTCATTATGGAAAATCCATGAAAACAATTCTGGAACACCTGTGCAAAAAACCGTCTTGCCTTCCATTTGCAAGAAATCCTTAGACATAGTGAATTTCCTGCAGCTAGGAAGACTGATATATGCACAGATCTAGGGATGCAGACGAATGACAAACATAAATGTTGAGTAAGACCACCAGAAACTATAAAGATAAAATGGGCATGGAATCCACCAAGGTTTCACACGTTTACTCCTTCACTTGACACTCCAGGGCCACAAACCCAAATAGGTCTTTCACCTCCGAAAACCGTTCAACACCCTTCCAACATCGAGGTATTTTCAAGCTCACGGTCGGTTAAGCCCAAGGTGTTAAAAAAAAATAATAATACAGAGGCTTTTCCCTGAGTCCCGCCGGCTTCCGTTTGTCTCCCGCGCACTGGAAAGACTAGGCAAACAAAGACTACAATTCCCAGCAGGCGTCGCGGCAGAAAAGTTCACGCACGCGCATCCCCGACCCTGCGAAGGCGGTCCCGCCGCGGGGTCCCTGGGAGATGAAAATGGCAGCGCCGGGGCTGCGGCATGGAATGCGAAGACTGCTAGAGGTGTCGGCGGCGCTAGGGCGCGTATGCCGAGCTTACAGCACGTCTCAGGCTTTTGCTGAGGTGCTTCGGCTGCCGAGGAGACAGCTGACGAAGCTGGTATACCCGCTGCAGGATCTCGAGCAGCACCTCGCGCCAGACGCGAGGTCGGACTTGTGCCTGAGGGTCTTCGATCCGAGCCTGGAGGACTTGGCGAGGGCAGAGAGCTTCTTCACGGCCAGCCCCCGGAACCGCATCGAGTACCTCAGCTCAGCCGTTCGACTGGACCACGCCCCGGACCTCCCCCGGCCCGAGGTGAGAGGGCGACTGCTCACCGCAGACCCCGAGCCCGTGGCGGCTGGCGCGGGCATCTGTCGCCAACGAGAGAGATCCCAGTTTTGTGCGGCTGCGTAGATTGCGCTAACAGAATAAATATATGTATCATTGTAATTACTCTGATCACGAATATAGTACATTTTTCAAGGTTCTGAAACCCAAACTAAGCCTTCCAGGAAGTCCATTTACTATCATTTTATTGTTTAATTGAGCTAGGGAAAACCTGCGGAGAGAATTTAGTCAGTGAATGGTAGGAACATGCAATAGTTGAACAAATGAGCTCATTCTTACCACCATGTGACTTTCACCCAATCTAAATTTCCTGTAACGTGCAAAATTGATTATATGTGTGCCAGTAATGTGAAAGTCTTTTTATTAATGAAACTCCGTGAGTGCATTTTATGGATAATACACTATTTTGTTCTAAGTCTCCTTAAAGGACGCTCAAATGTCTGCCTTTTCCCCAAGCTACACCTTTACCCAAAAGTATTTTCTTCTAAATATCTGTAGAACTGCTATAATAATTTAAGTAGTCAGTACTCAGGAATACATAAATTATTTAATAATTTTGTAATGCCATCGCTTTTTGATTTAAACTTACCCATTAAAGAACTTTATGTCTACTGTAATTCATTTTATATATATGCATGCATTGGATTTACTCTGGTGAGAGTATTTGAAATTTTTTTTAAAGATTTATTTATTTGAAAGTCAGAGTTATAGAGAGAGAGGAGAGGCAGAGGGAGAGAGAGAAGTCCTCTATCCAATGGTTTACTCCCCAGATGGCCACAACGGCCGGAGCTGCGCCGATCCAAAGCCAGGAGCCTGGAGCTTCTTCCAGGTCTCCTACACAGGTGCAGGGCTTCTACTGCTTTCCCAGGCCACAGCAGAGAGCTGGATCGGAAGAGGAGCAGCCAGGACTAGAACCAGTGCCCATACTGGATGCAGGCACTGCAGGTGCCACCTTTACCCACTACGCCACAACACAGGCCCCAAGAGAATTTGAAATTTATGCAGGACTCTGATTAATTTATCTTAAACTACTAACCCTGGTTTTGCAAAATATATAGAATGCCTGGCCTCTGCCCACTAAGTACCCCCTAATTGTATAGATAACCAAAAGTGCCCTTACAAATCTCCAAAATGTCTCCCAAGGGATAGAAGTGACTTCGTTTAGAAAAATAGGTTGGTGGAGTCTCCCCTTCAGTGCCCTGTTAAAAAGCAAAGCCAAGTATATTAGTGATTACTATCAAGAATACTTTATTACTTTACACACTGCCAAGGAAAAAAGCTTAATTGGAACAAGAGAGGTCAAGGAGAAAAGAACACCTTAAATTTCAGTGGTGTTACAGTGTACTCTTGGAGTTCTTGAGAAAATGCCGTTGCTCCATAAATGGAGTTCCTAGTATGTCGTACTTTTGAGCCAGTTTTGTTGAAACATCTAGTTTTTATTTCAAAAAGCTTTGTAAATATGGAATATTTAATAAAAGTGGCAGATATTCTTGGGTAGCATAGTGTAATTAAAAACAAAGGTTCTGGATATAAATATTGCAAGTTCAAATCCCAGTCCTTTCACTTTATACTGTATAATTTGGGGCCAGTTATGTTTTCTCATCTGTAATGGTGATAATATTACCTACCTCATAGAGTTGTTGTAAAAAAAGAATAAGAAAATATGAGGAGTCTTCAAGAAGTTTATGGAAATGTATATTATGAAAGAACTATACACAGATTTCACATTTTGTTTTACACCAAAGCAAACATACCATATCTGACCAGGATCTAGTAAGTGGAGTAAACTTTGAGTTTGATGGATGCCAAAACTATTATACCCAGATCATCTGTACATAGTAGTAAAGCTTTCATTAAAAATTTTAAGCAAGTGAAATCAAGTTCTTGAAGCATTTCTTCGAGGAATTTTAACAGAAGATCTAACATGGTGTTTCCACTATTGTCCTGAAGACATAGCACAATCAAAGCAATGGCACCAAGTGGTAGAGTGGTTTGGTCAAAGCAGGAGTGGACGGGTTGAGAGCAACATCATGGCAACAGCTCTTTGGGATGCTCATAGTATTTTACTTGTTAAGCTTCTGCTGTGCTAAAGAACCATAACATCTTATGAGAGTGATTTGAGAAAGTTAGCCAAAGCCTGAGCAAGAAAAACAACTAGCAAAGCTTTGGCAAAGTGTTTCTCCTCCACAACATGCTCTGATCATTTCTCTTAGCAAATGAGCAATTTAGGGAGAATTTCAATGGGAAATCATTAAGCATCTTCCCTACAGTACTGATTTGGCTCCTTCTGACTTCTTTTTGTTTCTTAATCTTAAAAAAAATCTTTAAAGGGGGCCGGCGCTGCGGCTCACTAGGCTAATCCTCCGCCTAGCGGCGCCGGCACACCGGGTTCTAGTCCCGGTTGGGGCGCCGGATTCTGTCCCGGTTGCCCCTCTTCCAGGCCAGCCCTCTGCTGTGGCCAGGGAGTGCAGTGGAGGATGGCCCAGGTGCTTGGGCCCTGCACCCCATGGGAGACCAGGAAAAGCACCTGGCTCCTGGCTCCTGCCATCGGATCAGCGCGGTGCGCCGGCCGCAGCGTGCCGGCCGCAGCGGCCATTGGAGGGTGAACCAACGGCAAAGGAAGACCTTTCTCTCTGTCTCTCTCTCTCACTGTCCACTCTGCCTGTCAAAAAAAAAAAAAAAAATCTTTAAAGGGAACTCATTTTTCTTCATTAGTAATGCTAAAGACTACATTGACTTCTCAGGATCCTCAGTTCTTTAGGAGCAGGTTAAATGGCTGATAATCACCACTAATAACAAAAGTTCTGAGCTTGATGGAGTTTAAGTTGAGAAATAGTTTGTGGGGTGGTTTTTTTTTTTTTTTTTTTGTATTTTAATTACATTTTCCTGAACTTTTTGAAGTCCTTTTGCAAATGCTGAGTGCTTAGAACAGTACCTAACATATTGAAATCATTCAATAAATGTTAGCTGCATACTAGAATTCAGGGTTTGACTAAACATAAGTCTATTTTATGTTTTATATGGCTTAACATGTCTGACTAGTTCAACAGTTCTGCAGTGAATAAAAAATTTTATACTTATATTAACCAGTACTCAATTTTGTTTTTTCTTGTATAAGGTGTGTTTTATAGGCAGAAGCAATGTTGGAAAATCCTCCCTAATAAAGGCTTTATTTTCATTGGCCCCTGAGGTTGAAGTCAGAGTCTCCCAAAAGCCGGTATATTAAAATTTTATGTTATCTAGACTATATCTTGAATTGACTAAAATGAATAATATTGGAAGGTACAAGAAACTGTAATTGCTAAGTTGCTAGAGAAATGTTCTTTCAAACGAGTAATAAATATATTTTATTGATGCCTTTGTATATCTGAAGAAAATGAAGTGTGGCTGGATTTATTTTAGTAGTCTGGCTAATATCTTGCAGAATTCTTCTGTTGTCCAAATTTTCCAAAGAGTTGCCAAATAAACTGTTTTATTGTTATTCTGCATTTCCTTTTTTAAGAGTGATCATCTGGCCAGCGCCGCAGCTCACTAGGCTAATCCTCCGCCTTGTGGCGCCGGCACACCGGGTTCTAGTCCCGGTCGGGGCGCCAGATTCTGTCCCGGTTGCCCCTCTTCCAGGCCAGCTATATGCTGTGGCCAGGGAGTGCAGTGGAGGATGGCCCAGGTGCTTGGGCCCTGCACCCCACGGGAGACCAGGATAAGTACCTGGCTCCTGCCATCGGATCAGTGTGGTGCGCCGGTCGCAGCGCGCCAGCCACGGCAACCATTGGAGGGTGAACCAACGGCGAAGGAAGACCTTTCTCTCTGTCTCTCTCTCTCACTGTCCACTCTGCCTGTCAAAAAAATAAAAAAAATAAATAAAAAAGTGTGATCATCTAGTTCTACATTGATTTTAGGGGAACCAGCCTTAAAAGGCTTTGCTTTTTGTTTTTTCTCCTTACTGACTCATATACACACACATACATGTTAGGGCTTTTCCAGAGCAAGTCTGTACTTGTTATCCCAGCCAGACTGCTGTAATAGTTTTCTGTCATTATCTAGTTGCCTCCACTTTCTTCTTAATAATACAGACTCTACCAATATCTAAGATACCCTTTCCTCAAAACTCATGGTTCTTTCCGTTCTTTAACCCTCTCATCCTCCTGCCCTGTCTCATAAAATAAACCAAATAAATTATAACTTCTAAGTAGGGTGATCCTCTTCCTTTTCGGAGAGGGAATGTATTCTTGACATTCACAATCTTAATTTTTTAAATAATTTTTAATTTAATATTTATTTATTTATTTGAGTCAGAATTACAGAGAGGGAGAGACAGAGAGGAGAAATCTTCCATCCACTAGTTCACTCCCCAAATGGCAGCAATGGCCAGAGCTGGGCCAATCTGAAACCAGGAGCTTCTTCCAGGTCTCCCATGTGGGTGTAGGGCCCCAAGTACTTGGGCCATCTTGTGCTTCTTTCCCAGGTGCATTAGTAGAGAGCTGGATCAGAAGTGGAGCAGCAGGACTCGAACCGGTGCCCATATGGGATGCCCACACCAAGGCAGGGGCTTTACTCGCTATGCCACAGTGCTGCACCCCCTCCCCCAGTCTTTAATTCTAAACTCATTTTGCTACATGTGGACAAATAAGCTGACTGGGAACTTAATCATGATTTATAAAAATTTCACTTTGATATTACTTAAGATCCAAATAACTGGCTGCTTTTTTAAATTGTCAGTCTCCTTTTCTGGTTAATAATGTTACATATGTTGTGGGCCTTTAGCCCAGCAGTTAAGTTGCCACTTTTGGATGCCCCCATCCTGTACTGGAATACCTGGTTCCAGGGCCAGCTCCTCCACTTTGGGTCCACCTTCTTGCTAATGCACATTTTGGAAGGAACAGATGTTGACTTGGGTCCCTGCCACTCGTGTGGGATACTGCCTGGAGTTCCAGGCTCCTGACTTTGGCCTAACTCAGCCCTGGTTGTTGTGGGTATTTGAGGAGTGAACCAACAGATGGAAGATTGATCAATCTCTCTTTCTCCCTCTCCATTTCCCTTTCTCTCTGCCTTTCAAATAAAAATGAAAACAAATCATAACAAAATTTTTAAATATTCCATAGACACAAAAGCATGCATAAGCCATATTTTAGCATCTTTTTATTTTTTACACAACTATAATTATAGTGCTATGTATTCTTTTTTTTATATAAGATTTATTTATTTATTTGAAAGGTAGAGTTACAGAGAGGCAGAGGCAGAGAGAAAAGTCTTCCATCTGCTGGTTCACTCCCCAAATGACTGCAACAGCCAGAGCTGGGCCAATTCAAAGCCAGGGACTTCCTCTGGGTCTCCCATATATGTGCAGGGGCCCAAGGATTTGGGCCATCTTTTACTGCTTTCTCAGGCCATACGAGAGAGCTGGATTGGAAGTGGAACAGCCAGGACTCGAAGTAGCACCCATATGGGATGCCAGCACTGCAGGCGGTAGCTTTACCCACTACGCCACAGAACTGACCCCCATATGTATTTTTTTAAAAAAATTGTTTATGGAGAGCACTAAAACCTACCTAATAAAATGTGCAAAACATCTTGAATTTAGGGAATCATTAGTCTAAATAAAAGAAGTACCAAGCTTTGGATCTAGGTTTTATGAAAAGCTATGTGACTGATGGCATCATTTTAATCTGTCGTTGGCAAAATTCATTTCTCTTTAAAGTGGAGATGCATCAGAGAATACTGACTAATGCAGTCATACAGTGTATGTAACAGGGTTACCTTCTTCAAGAGTTAATGAAATAGGAAAGACTCAAATATTTTGCCTACATATTTCTAATACAGTATAAAAAGTTCTTCTAAAGTCATAAGATTCTGTTTTAAAAAATGAATTCGAGGCCGGCGCCGCAGTTTACTAGCCTACTCCTCTGCCTGCTGCACCGGCACCCCAGGTTCTTGCCCTGGTTGGGGCACCAGATTCTGTCCCGGTTGCTCCTCTTCCAGTCCAGCTCTCTGCTGTGGCCCGGGAAGGCAGTGGAGGATGGCCCAAGTGCTTGGGCCCTGCACCCGCATGGGAGACCAGGAGGAAGCACCTGGCTTCTGGCTTTGGATCGGTGCAGTGCACCAGCCCTGGCAGCCATTCTGGGGGTGAACCAACAGAAGGAAGACCTTTCTTTCTGTCTCTCTCTCTCACTGTCTAACTCTGCCTGTCAAAAAAAAAAAAAAAAAAAGAATTGGAGGGAAGAATTCTGATCTTAGCCTACCTATCTCCAGCTGCTTCTCTTTATCTGCTTTTCCTGTGTCATCATCATCATCATCATAGCTAGAATTAAATACCTAGGCTTTCAAAAGTATTTGTTGATTGACTAGAAAGCATTTTGCAATACATAAAGAACATATTTTAAGACAGCTTTTATTTTCCCTTCTACTTTGTCAGGGGCACACAAAGAAAATGAATTTTTTCAAAGTTGGAAAATATTTTACATTGGTCGACATGCCAGGTTATGGCTATAGAGCACCGGAAGATTTTGTTGATATGGTAGAGACCTATCTAAAAGAACGAAGGAAGTAAGAAAAAAATTTTCTTATAATAGTTATACATTTAACTCCAAAGCACATTTTCATCAAGAGAGTATTCAACACATGATGAACACTTTAGTTTTATCAAATGACTTAATCTAGAAGGTCCGTTTTATTTTCACAGTGTTCTACAATACTATATTTAGGATGAAGGTATGTGTTGCTTGTTGAGTTTCTGCCTGTTGGTTAGCTTACTCTTAACTTCAAGTGTTTTCCTAAATTGAGACTATAAAGATAACATCAGCAGCATTCAATAATTTTTTTTAAAAACCAAACTCTCAGCTGGCTAATTTTGAAAATGAAAAGTGTTCGTTAATGTGGTATTCAACAGACTTAAATACACTTCAGTAGATTCTGATCACTCTTAAAATAACCTCATACATCATACCCTCTGAAAAATCTTTATTTTTTTTGTATCCATAGGTAGTCAAATAAGTTCTATATTTCAGGAATTCACAATCTATAGAAAAGTAACGTTAAACTTTTGAAGTGTAAAAAAGTTTATAAGTATCTTGCTTGTAGCTTTACACAGAAACTAAACATTCTACAATAACTTATATTAATTGGGCTTGTGTCTCTTTCTCCCACTAGAGTTAAGCTATTATAGAAAGGGGCCCACTCATCTTTGTATACAACCCAAAGCAGGTTTATGTCAATAGATGCTTATTGAAATAAATTAATATTTAGTGAATTTAGTTATTTAAAGTAAATGATATTGACACCTGCTGGACTGTGGAATGAACTCCCAAGGAAATTTTTAAATTTTGAATTGAAAATTATTCAAATGGAAATTTCATAGCATAGTTAAGGTTCAGAGAAGGGGAAAAATGAATGGGTATATTTTATATTACTATTAATCTTCTTTTCTACATTCTTATAGTTTGAAGAGAACATTTTTATTAGTGGACAGTGTTGTTGGAATTACAAAAACAGATAATATTGCTATAGAAATGTGTGAAGAATTTGCATTACCTTACGTGGTAAGTATTTCCTTGAAATCATGGTTGTAGATAGAAATATCAGTTTTGTGTGCATGCCCTTTTAATGAATGTACTGGTCTCACCTCCTTAAAAGATAAAGGAGAATGCCTTTTGAATAATTTTTTCAGTTATCAGCCATTAATATTAAAATCACTTGTCCAGTACTTTTATTCCCTTCTCCTCTCAGCTAAGTTTTTAAAATTATGGTCAATATAAAAGTTTTTTTGACCTGTTCATTTAGTGATCCTAAGTACTTTTCTTTTTAGTATACATATGTGTGTATTTTTTTTGGCAATATAAACAGAAGCTTGGCACATAATACTTACCAGAATGAAAGTAAAATAGCAACTAGAAAACTGCTAACCTAATTTAGAATTTAAAAATTGTTTCAAGAATGTAGGAGCTCAAGCATACACATATAGTATTTTTATATTCATAAAGAAAACAAAAATGAATTTATAAATTTCAGCACATTTGCCTTTATGAGGAAAGGATACTATTTATGGGGATTCATAAGTCATTAGAAACCACAGAGGTTCTGCTTCTCATTCCTTCTTCTCATTACCATTTTTCTAATTAAAAAGCATAAATTATTCTTCATGAATTTTCAATTCATAGAAATTCCCCAAGAAAATATACGGTTTTACTTAATTGATTTTGTAATCACTCATGCCTTGACCTTCTTCCAGCATGTAGTTGTATTTGGACAAGTAAAATTCTGTAATTACTTGGAATATAGCTAGAGTAGATAAAAACAGCTTATAAATACTCCTTTGGGGAATTATTTATGAGGATAAAGCATTGTGTAAGTCAAAAATGATCATAAGTTTGCAAATCTATGTGGAGTAACCTAATAATCATTTATATCTTAGTCCAAAAGATATAATGTGATCATATCAAACAGCTTATGGCAATTGAAAATATGGCTGCATGGTCCTTCTCATTTAACTTAAATCCAATATATTACAGCCCTGTGTAGTTAAAGCACCATTAGACAACAGACACAAGGTATATACTTTATACCTTCAAACATTAACTCATTCACTGTTCACAGCATCTCCTTTATGAGTAATTGTATTTTACAGATGAAAAAATAGATCCAGAGACTGAGAAATCTGCAGAGGGTCATATATTTATAACTAAAATGTGTAAAACTGTATATTAAGAAATATTTCTAATGCATTGAATTTTATTTTCTTGTAGATGGTATTAACAAAAACTGACAAATCTTCCAAAGGACATCTTTTAAAACAAGTGCTTCAGATCCAGAAGTTTGTTAACATGCAAACCCAAGGATGTTTTCCTCAGTTGTTTCCTGTAAGGTAAGCACTGAATTGTTTTTATAACCAGATGTACTAAAAACCTCTAATATCCAATCAGTGTTTCTTAAATTGCTGTGTCACTTGTAAGTAGAGGCATGTGGAAGCCCGCACGTAGTCATGATTTGTTGGTCCAGTCCGTCAGTTTCTCTTCCGTCTGTCGTTTCTTTCTTCTGCTCTTCCTTGCTGGATGTTCACTGCAGGCACTTCCTTCTCTTTCTGCCTCAGCCTACCTCAGCCCCAGACCACAACAGAAGTAAGAACGTTTTACCTTTTTAAATCAGCTCAACAGCCACAATAAAGAAGCTACCAACTGAATTTCAAATAAAAACAGCGTATTTTTATACTAGAAAGCTCATGCAGGACGTGAGGAATAAAAAATTTTCCTTTAAAGGACTATAACGGAAGGAAAAATGTTTCCTGCAAGTTAGTTAGAATTACACACTGATAGCAAACAGAATGCTTATTTGCTGAGCTGTTTTTTGTTTTTTGTTTTTTTTGTTTTTTTTTTGTTTTGTTTTGGATACTTTGATGTGGTTTAGTGACAAGGCAAGAGTTTTTTTTTTTAAGATTTATTTATTTATTCGGAAGGCAGAGTTAGAGAGAAAGAGAGAGAAGGGGGGTGAGAGAGAGAAAGAGAGAGAGAGAGATCTTTTGTCTGCTATTTCACTTCCTAAATGGCTCAGCCAGAACTGGGCTGAGCGAAAACCAGGAGCCAGGAGCTTCCTCCGGGTTTCCCACATGGGTGCAGGGACCCAAGGACTCGAGCCATCTTCTACTGCTTTCCCAGGCCACAGCAGAGAGCTGGATCAGAAGGGGAGCAGCCGGGACTCAAACCGGCGCCCGTATGGGATGCCGGCACTGCAGGTGGTAGCTTTACCTGCTACACTACACCACAGCGCAAGCCCCCAAGGGAAGAGTTTATATTTTCGTTGCATACTTGCGTGCAGTAAGCAATGTGTACTGGGGCACAGAGGGTGCCACTGCTCTCTGAGTGTCTGACTCTGACTTCTTTGTGAAAGCATAATTAGTTATTATGAGGAAATACTAGAAGTATCACTTCGTTGTATAGAGATTGCCCCATTTGAAATGGCAGTCATTTTACTATCAATCTTGATAAGACTTAAATTGTAATTAGCAAGGTGTCTGTTGGAATCCCTCTTCCGTCAGTCTGACAAAACGCTCTTCTGTGACTTCCACGCAGGTATTATTTCGCTTGTTTGTCTTTGTCCGCTGTACACAATGGAAACTCCTAAGGTTTGGGCTCAAGTCCTAGTCCTTCTCAGAGTCCCGAGCATTTTTATATAGAGACAGCCATCTCTTTTACTTGTTTTTGAAGAAGGAAGTGAGACTACAGCTACACAGGAAGCACGAATAGGAGATGGGCAAATTGTGCCTTACCAGCATTTGTTGAAAAAAAATTGTTTTAGTTGACTGTAAACTGAGTTTGAAGTAACAGTATATTGAGGTTGGGGAAAAACTGTTTTCCTGAGCTACATTAATGGAATTATGGAGTCCAAAACAAGGTTATGATTAAGCAGTAATATCCAATGCTATGCAGTCAGATTGTGGCTTAAGAACTTTCTGAAAGCAAATGGTCTGGGGGGAGTTTTGTCACTAGATAATTCAAAACATTTAATTGACCCTCAACAGTAAACATCCTATTAAAGTTGCAAGTCAGAGAAGTTGAGTGAGTTGCAGGGGCCTGATCTGCGTCATAGCAGGTAAAGCTTCCACCTGCAGCACAGGCATCCCATGAGCACTGTTTCAAGAACTAGCTGCTCAACTTTGACCCAGCTCTCTGCCTACGCACCTGGGAAAGCAGTGGAAGATGGCCCAAGTCCTTGAGTCCCTGCACCCCACAGTGGGAGATCCGGAAGAAGCTCCAGGCTCCTGGCTGTTGCAGCCATTTGAGGAATGAGCTGGCAGATGGAAGATTTCTCTCTCTGCCTCTGCCTCTCCCTTTCTGAAACTCCGACATCCAAATAAATAAATAAATCTTTAAAAAAAATGGAGTTGCAGAAAGGTAAGAAGATACTTCACGAAGTTTATGGTAGCATGGAATAAAAGATAATCTGTATTTCCCATAAGCTTTTTAAAGACCAAGGCACTGCAAAAGGTCCCACAGCACTTAGAATCTACAAATCAAGACATGGGAGCCCATTGCCTTCAAGAACTTCACCATTTCCTATACTGCAATTGGAAAGGGAGGACATATATACTTCTTGCTCTGACTTGCATGACCAAGCCCCAAGCCATCCCCCAAGCAGGGAGTCTGGTCTACTCAGAAATGGTTCTTATAAAATGTCACATTCTGTTTCCTTCTCTTCCTGTATGCTTGTGGTAGGTGAAAGTAAAGTGCAGGGTAGATATCTAGTCCAGTAAGGTTTGGCCTGTGAGCCTGTCGGCAAAAGTCAAGTGCTAATCTTCATGTCTGAACTCTGTCCTAGCAGCGGAGAAAAGTAGAAATGGTGAAAGGCCCTAATTTAAGGGCTGTTGCTAGAATCAGTCTGTTTTATAAATGGTCTGATATAATTTCCTCTGTGCATTTCTCTATATTGATTCCAAGCAGATGAGCATGACTCTAAGGATAGAGAAAATACTAGGAACTGATAGAAATGTTGCAAATGAGTTCAAGGTGCCAGTATAAAAATCATTGTGGGATGTTTTCAAGGAGGCAGTTTTAGCCAAAAAGTCTAAAGTGCTGTACTTTATAAAGAAGAGAATTAGCAATATAGCAGTCGTTTCACCTGTATGGAACTTCCTAGTATATCCATGCCTGTGAGACCATGTGGTTAATTAATTTCTGTATGTATGGCTGGATGAATGGATAGTGGAAGATAAATATAAGAGACACAGTAATGGTAATGGTAACTTTAAAAAAACAAGTCAAAACCTCAAAAACGGTCTAAATTATTAAGATGACTTTCACAAAAAAAAAAAAAAGAGAGAGAGAGAGAGAGAGAGAGATAAAGACTTACTTTGGGAAATAGAAAGGAAAATACAGGATATGGCAAAATTTTTAGAATCACCAAGAAAATAAATGAATTCAGATCTGTTACTACCTCTGAAGTAAAAAAGAAAATTATTTTTCTCTTTTTACAGTGCTGTGACCCATTCTGGAATCCATTTATTAAAATGCTTTATAGCAAATATAACAGGAAACCTTGACTCACAGCTCCCAGTTTAGCTGAAGATTCAGAATTCTTCATACCAACTGAACATAAACACTAAAAGAATCAACATTGTTTTTAATGTGTACTTGTAACATGGAGGAGGCTCACTGCAGCTTTAAAACCTGCATCTAGGGGCCGGCGCTGTGGTGTAGCAAGCTAAGCCTTCACCTGGGGTGCCGGCATCCCATATGGGCGTCAGTTCGAATCTCAGCTGCTCCTCTTCTGACCCAGCTCTCTGCTATGGCCTGGGAAAGCAGTAGAGGATGGCCCAAGTGCTTGGACCCCTGCACCCGCAAGGGAGACCCAGAGAAAGCTCCTGGCTCCTGACTTCCAGATCAGCCTAACTCCAGCAGTTGTGGCCATTTGGGAAGTGAAATGGAAGAATTTTCTCTCTGCCTGTACCTCTACCTCTCAAATAAATAAATAAATAAATAAAGATTTCTCTGTCTCTCTTCCTCTCTCTCTAATTCTTTCAAATGAATAAATTTTATATAAAAAAAAAAGCCCTGCATCTTCCTCCAGCAAGAATGAATTTGTACCTGGGAGAAAAAGGTTTATAAGTAACTGAACTATGCAGTTCATTAGAATAGATACTAGCTGATTTTCCTACTGTAACAAATCCACGAACAAGATACAAAAGTTCATAAAATAGAAACCTGTCACTATGTAGGTAAGGATTTGCCATTTCATTTATTGGGCTTTATCTTTTAAATAAGCTTATCAAGTATCTTTTTTTAAGTATAAAAATAGACTTGAGTAAAGGGATTGCTTTGCATTAAGCATTTAGAAGTAAGCTGAAAGATAAATGCCCCCATAGAAGCCTATTATTAATCTTTCTCCAAGTCCTTACTTGAATATTAAAGAATTACTCCTGATCAGATTTGTCAGTCTACATTGGAACCACTAGTCATTTCAGGCAGGACACAGGATTGAAACTTAGAAGGTCAGGATGCAAGTTCCAGGTCTAATATACAGTACCGGTTGCACCTTCGGAAAATTACTTGATTTCTCTGGATTTTATTCATAACTGTGACCTCATAAGCTATTAATTAAAATGATATTATGAATCAATATATATGAGGACAGTGACATATTTGTGAAGCCAGACCAACCAAATACAGCAAAATCTAGTTATCTGTCAAAAAAAAAAAAACCATTTTGTCATAGAAGTAAAATTTTCTCTAGTGAAAAGCCAAAACACAAAACTAGCATTAAGTGAAAAAATTTGTTCACGAAGGGCAAGAGGAGGCTGGTGGGACAAGTTCAGAATTGGTTCGCTGAAGAGTCAAAATGGCAAGATAAAAGCCTTACTTTAAACTAAAGTTAATGCAAATTGCTTTTATGAAGCTGACTCTACTTATTCATTTAAGTGGCAAAGCTTTTCAAAGCAAGACGTAAAAGGTTATAGTTACAGTGCTGAGTGAAAAATCAAAGCAATAAAACAACTGTGTAGCCTTTTTGGAAAACCCAATTCTGAATATATTTTCCAATTTTTTACGGTTGACAGAATTTGTCTTTTATTCTAATCAGTGTCTTAAGTCAAAAAAAGTTTAATATACATACTCACAAACTAAATCATATGGTGACAAAAGATTTATCTTAGAAATTGTTCTGCTGGCTCCGCCTGTGGCGCCGGCACCCCAGGTTCTAGTCCAGGTTGCTCCTCTTCCAGTCCAGCTCTCTGCTGTGGCCCAGGAAGGCAGTGGAGGATGGCCCAAATCCTTGGGCCCTGCACCCGCATGGGAGACGGGGAGGAAGCACCTGCCTCCTGGCTTCGGATCAGTGCAGCGCGCCAGCTATAGCGACCATTTTGGGGGGGGGTGGTGAACCAACGGAAGGAGGACCTTTCTCTCTCTAACTCTGCCTGTCAAAAAAATTAAAAAAAAAAAAAAAAAAGGTGTTCTTCTACCTGCTACGGTTACTTTACTGCCTGTCCAGCCTTGGTTCTCCTAAACACACAGCCTAAGACAAATGCTTGCGTGCAGTTTATCTGGGAAATGATCCCAGGAGAACACAAGTGGTGAAATAAAGCAGAGGCAGGAAAGCCCATCAAGGATGCTTGATCTTGAGAGACTTTCTGAAGAGCCTTAGAAACGTGCTTCGGCTGTCTTTGAGGAGAGGGGACAGCCCATTCTTCTACCATGTTATAACTGCCTGAGTGCCAGGCATTCCTGCAGCTTGTCAAAAGCCCAGGGGCAGGAAGCGAGAGGCCCCTGGAGCAGAAGGCAAGTTCCGGCCCTACTTAACGGATTGCCAAAGAAGTGACTGAATAAGAAAGCCAAGAGGATTTGAAGTGACATACAGGAAGTTTACACTGCTCTTAAAAATGACCTCAGTGCCCTGATACCACCACAATAAAATTGGTACTCTGTGATGAACCTGATATCATTCCTAATCTCATTTACTAGGAAAGTTATGTGGCATATTGTACATTTCATTGCTCAAAGTTTAAGACATTGGATTTAAATTATGTTTGGAAGAAAAACTCATAGAAAACGCCATTCCTTATAAATACGTAAGTTACCATTTTGTGAAACCTTTTACTATTTTCCCAGAGTTGTAAGGGGTAGAGATGAAAAAAGAGAAAATAAAGATGTTTGCTCCAAAGACACATTAATGGAGTAAAAAAATGCCAACCTGATCCATACTTTATATTAGTCAACTTCCTTAACTTACTTAAACATTCTGGTTTTTCCAACAAGAGTTTCAACTATTAAAGTTTATAATTCTTTACACACATTTCAGGTGCAGAAACCTGCACTTAGGAAAACTACCTCGCCTCAGTGGAACCATGTGAAAATAGAAGCAGAAGCAAGCCTAGACTGTAACTCTCCTAAGTTAGAACATCTAGGAGCTGGCGCTGTAGCACAGCCTGCAACACTAGCATCTCATATGAGTGCCACTCCCTGCTAATGTGCTTGGGAAAGCAGCAACAGATGGCCCAAGTGCCACAACATGTGGGAGACCTGGATGGAGTCCCAGGCTCTTGGCTTTGGCTAGGCCCAGCCTTGGCCATTGCAGCCACCTGGGGAGTAAACCAATGGATGAAGGATCTCTGTTTCTGTCTCTCCCACTCTAACTCTGCCTTTCAAATAAATAATTTAAAAAAAATTGAATTGTATTGAACTTCACATGATTATTTAAAATACATAAGCTTTACCTTCAGAGCAATTATATGAGCAATGTACAAATATGGCATCAACATCAATTATTAATTTGTGTCAGCCACATTCCTGGGTCTATTTTGTGTCTCCAACTGTATTTTTTCATTTATTTTCTCACCTACTTCTTTATTATCCCATTGTATTTAATATCTAACCATAAGCCACCTTATATCCTTTTTGGAAAACGTTACTTGGAATCAGTCATTGGCATCCAAATAAACACAATTAACAACAAGAAAATAACCTTTTAGAGAACTTCAAAAGCATTTTCTTACCTGCTCCTATGATAAGGTGAACAAATGAGAAATAACCATGACCAGTCCCCAGTACAAAACTTTTGAGAGTCCCTTTGAAGATCCTTTCTAATATAAGCCAGACACAAGCACAACCATCAGAAGCTACAGATTTTGGTACTTAGAGGTGGATGTACCTATGATGAAGCTGGTAAGGCTTTTTAGGTAGGCTTTTAGGGGCTTCCTTGCGATGCCCCATTTTCTTTATGGCACAAGAGTTTTTGCAAACTTAATTACTTGGGTATTAATTCCCTGAGAAATCATAAAACTATTGAATTTTTCAGTGACCTAACAGCCCCAGCCAAGCAATTACATCAGCTTTCAAAGGCCATCTATGGCAGATTTTTCATTTTAATACCTGACACTTAGGCAAAGTCAAATAAATACTTGATAAAGTGACACACAGCTACCATGTTTATTGAACTAAAGTGAACTCCTGTGCATATTGCACAAATGCATCTTCTCCCTGAGTGCCTCCAAGCAGTACTAAAAAATTTCAAGTTATACTAAAATAGCAGGATATTAAATGAGCTTTTTAATTGTTTAAAAGTCTCATGTATGAACATCTAAACCCCCATTAAAGCAAAAATATCATCAATGTCATCTGTCTCCTTAGTGGTTCCTGGTGCATTAGGTGTGTTTATTTGCATCTTTCTCCATGAATCCGTTTCCTGTTCACTGCTTGCTGTGAGGTTTTCATGAGTCTGTTTCCCTGTGGCTTGTAAGGCCGGATTTAAAACTCTGCTGCTCAAGGGTCGCACACTGTCAGGATCAGGGGAGAGTGCAGCGCTGCGAGCTGCACGGTGTGCCAGTCCCCGCTTGGCGCTGGCATCTGCAGCAGTCTTCTGAGTCCCTTGACTGAACTGCTGAATTTCCTTTAAAAGATCTGACTGCACCTTCCTCTGTGGTTTCCTTTGTCTTGGTAAAAGTGTATTCTGTGATCTCCTTTGTCTCGGATAATGCTTTGAAGTTTTGATACCCGAGCCACGAAGAAGGCAGTTGCAGATAGATGTTTTTATGCATTCGAGTTTCTTGGGCAAACTTCAAGGGACAGAGAAGGGAAAAATGTGCTCTTGTTAAAATGCAGAAAAACATTCCCAAGCACTAATAATGTACATTCCTTCTACCAGCTTCCAACAGAAAAGTGTACAATCCCAGAATCAATGAAAAGGAAATAGAAGTTTCAACCCAAATCTGCATTTTCACAGCATAACTTCCCTCTAACTCAGGTTGCAGGTAGATGTGTCTGGCTGTCAAAGTAAACTTCTACAACTGCTTGGCAAAGCAGCTGAATAACAAAGGAAATACCACCACACATGAGTGCCAAAGAGTCTCCCTCACAGCTGCTCATCTGTTCACAATGTAACAGGAGTGGAGATGGAAAATGTCCCAAGTGAAAAACTCTGCCCCTCCATATTCACTCTATATCTGAATAAGCAGTTTCATGTCATGGTAGGAAACGAACAAAGAATCTGAATACAGGCGAAGAGGGGGTTTTATATAAAAGAGTGAGAAAACAGGTTTCTGGCACAGATGAACTGAAAGCCTGAACTACCCTAACTGTGCTTCTATTATGCCATCTTCCGGTCTGGAAACTGAGAACTCCAAACAGCTTCCGAGTCGAGCGCACCTAGCACAGAGTTCATGAGTGCCTTGCTGAACTGCGCAGCTTTTAAAAGATCAGCACAGGTCTATTCTCGCTACCCCAGAAGCCTCCCCACTTCCTTTTGAAACATAGAGAACTTTGAGAAAGCCCATGATAATGAAGTAATTCCTGATCTTTGGTTTCAAACCATTTTCTCATCTTACTGTAAGTGGTGACTTTTCAAGTGGGGAGGTAGATAAACCTCCAAGTTGAAAGAAAATGAATTTATAAAAAGAATCAGAAAACCTGAATTGAGATCTAGATCTCTAGTTCTAATCCTTCATTTCCACATATATGTAACAGGAAAAATACTGTCTACCTCAGAGAATTATGAAGGACATTAAATAAATGGTAAAATGTACTACAAATAAAACGTATTAATGAAGCAGCACTATATTTTAGGTAGTACAGAATAATGGTTTCGTCAATAAACACAAGTTTGTTACCCGTCTCATTAACTTTTGATCTAAAACCCAGTCTCGACCAAAACAACTCTGTCTTGGGCTGTTTCCAACAGAACGGATCCCTTTGGATATGTACAGGCCTTTTGGGGTACCTAATGTAAAAACCTCCCCAGCAATTCATCCCTTTGGAAGACAAGGGTTCTTCAAGAAGTCTGTGGAAAATGGAACTAAAAGATAAGTTTCTTTTAGTGGAAAAAACTGTGAAGTCCATACATACAGAGGGTATTCCAAAAGTTCATGGAAAACCCATATTATGAAAAATCTACACACATACTTAAAAAATTTAGGGTACCAAAATAAACTTATCTTTTAATTCCATTTTTCTGCAAGCTTTTCATGGTATCCTCATATTCAACAATGTCTCTTGTGGTTTTTATTCAAAACTTGTTATATACCAAATACATTTTCCACAATTTTTAGAATAAAATATAACAAGTTTTAGACAGCTGAAGTGGTTTCTTCCACAGGACTCATTATGAAGCTCTGAATAGGTCCTTCTTTAACTACAGATAAGACATTATATGGCATGCACAGAATATTTCTTGAAGGATATATTTTAAAAAACTAGAGTAACTGCATGTATGAAGAGAAACTAAGGACCTTCATACCCCTTTGTGACTGAAATTGTCACCACCGGCATTGGTTTTTTTTTTTTTTTTTTCCCCAATAAAATATAAAGCCCTGAGTGGGACTTCCTGTATGCTTCAAGAATTCAGACATGCACAGGCCAGCTCTGGTGCACACTGCCTCTGCCTGGACCAGCAGTCTGGTAAGGGCCTGGTGGGAGACAAGCAGCTTCTGCCCTGCTCTCAGACTCCTCCACAGCGGTCTTCAGACGGCTGCCCGCCCACCAGAGCAGGAGCTCCCTAAGGACTCTGTCCGATGCAGCTGTACCCACAGGCTGAGCACACCAGTCACTGAATGCTTTCCTGATGAAAGCAGCAAGAAATGAATGCTGGACATCCCACTTTAAAGTGCAGTGACTTGCATGGAAGCACTTTCACCCTGCCCAGCAACAGGAGAGGAGTTTTTGCAGTAGACTCACCTGTAGCCTTGGGCTTCCACATGTTTGAGCCGGTTACTTTTAAGAAGTTTGCTACCCAGAAAGGTGGCCTGAGCCCTGAGCTTTTTGCTCTTGCACCATATAATTGCTATTTGAATCTCTTCAGAAAGTTGTACGAAAGTCTCGGCTTCTCGGAATCTCTGCACAAAACTTTTGACACAAGGAGTTGCTCTCACTCTCTGAGAAGAACGTTTGGTTGTCTTTAGTTTGGATTGAGAACACTGGAATGCAAAGCTGTTCTGAAATGTTAAAGGTAGGGAAAATATTGAATAAGTTATGTTACTGACTTACAGATATATGACAAGAGAAAAAACCAGTCACAGTCAAACCTTAAAGTCTTTCTTTAAAAGAAGGAATTTTAGGTTTTGTTCACTGAGTTTTCCTTTTATCTTAAAAAACTTAACTTTTTAACCACTGCTAATACAAGTAGATAGTTTTTTTTCCTTCTGTACTAACACAAGTCCATCTGCAGTTGAATCAGAAGTAATCCAAGATACATACCTATTTATCATACACACAAAAATAAAATTCCACATGATTGAATACTGGCAAAAGCCTAATGGAGGGGGAAAATTGCTGATGGGGCTTCTCAACTATATCACTGGACCACCACAACCTGTTTTCCACTTATTTCCATTCCACGAATACCCTCCTCAATGATGGGTCATTAATGTTACTGCAAACACCTGAGGACAGGGAGCATGTGAGGCCTCACCCAGCAACCAGCACACTACTCCCATTAATCAGTTAACAAACGTACATTAAAACAAACTGAACAACATTTCTAATTCCCCTCCAACTACCTTCTGGCAAGGGTCCTTTGTTTCTTTAACTCCTTTCTATAGGATGTAAAGTCTGAATTTTGCTAGCTTTTACAGTATCTTTATGAAAATATGCCACCTGCCAGGTCTGCTTCTATCCTTCATTCACTCTGCTCACCTACTTCTAAATTTCCCACACTTAAAGAGGAGTTTGAAAAAGTAGAAAACAGAAGAAGCAGCTATTGGTAGTTTATGTCTGGTGATGTAAGAAGTCTGCAGTGGGGGCCGGTGCTGTAGCACAGTAGGTTAAGCCCTGGCCTGCAGCGCCGGCATCTCACATGGACCCCAGTTTGAGTCCCAGCTGCTACACTTCTGATCCAGCTCCCTACTAATGCGCCTGGGAGAGCAGCAGAGGATGGCCCAAGTCTTTGGGCCCCTGCACCCATGTGGGAGACACAGAAGAAGCTTCTGGCTTCGGATCAGCTCAGCTGCAGCTGTTCAGGGAGTGAGCCAGCAGATGGAAGACTTATCTCTCTGTCTCTACCTCTCTCTGTAACTCTGTCTTTCAAATAAGTAAACTAAATCATTTAAAAAGAAGAAGAAGAAGAAGTTTGCAGTTAAGACACTGCTTGGGATGCCATGTGCCAAATTGCAGGGCCTGGCTTTGAGTCCCAGTTCCACTTCTGATTCCAGTTTCTGGCTAATGCACACCATGGGAGGAGGCGGCAGGTGATGGCTCAAGTACTTGGGTCCCTGACAGCCATCTGGGGGACCCAGGCTGAGTTCCAGGCTCCTGGCTTCAGCCTGGCCCAGTCTCAGTTTGGCAGGCATGTGGGGAATGAAACAGTAGATGGAAGATACCTGTCTGTCTCTGTCTCTCTTCCTCTCTGCCTTTTAAATGCAATGAAACTAAATAAATGAATTTTAAAAGGTATTTTAACAATGAGCTTATCAAAAAAAAAAAAAGTCTCCTCTAAAAGCAAGCTGAGGGGGCGGACACTGTGACACAGCACATTAAGCCACTACCTGAGACGCCCACATCCCATATCAGAGTGCCAGTCTGTGTCCTAGATACCCCACTTCTGATGCAGAGCCCTACTCCTGTGCACCCTGGGAGGCACTGAACGAGGGCTCAAGCACTTGAGTCCCTGTCACCTGACTACATGGGAGATCCAAAAGGAGTTCCCGGCTCCTGACTTCAGCCTGGCCCGGCCACGGCTATTACAGCCATTTGGGAAGTGAACCAGGGGATAGAAGGTATCTCTCCCCAGAGCTCACCCTATAACTCTGCCTTTCAAATAAATAAATAAATCTTAAAAAAAAAAAAAAAAAAAAAAAAAAGCTGAGCATACTAGTGCTAATTACTAAAAGTATTCCAGTGATTCTTCTTGAGTAAGAGGGACACTGACCAATCTGCTTTAAATACAGCTCATTTACAAACAAGTGGATAGCTTGAAGGAGTTACAAAGAACCATAGTTCTGCTTGGGATGCAGAGTTGAAAAAACTATTCTTGGGACTGATGTCGGGATACAGAACAGAAACTATGAAACCAAACTGCCTGCACTGAATGCCCAGCTCTGCTCCTTTTTCATGGTGCAGCCCAGGCAAGTTTCTTGGCCTTTCTGTGCCTCCATTTCCCATCTGGAATATGAAAACAGTAGTAAGCGCACCTTTTTCATCATTCACGGGCCACACAAAATTATCAGTTTAGGGGCCAGTGTTGTAGTATAGTGGGTAAAGCTACTGCCTGCAGTGTTGGCATCCCATATGGGCACTGGTTTGAGTCCTGGCTGCTCCTCTTCCAATCCAGCTCTCTGCTAAGGCTTGGGAAAGCGATGGGAGATGGCCCAAGTCCTTGGGCCCCTGCACCCACATAGGAGACCTGAAAGAAGCTCCTGGCTCCTGGCTTTGGATTAGCCCAGCTCTGACTGTTGCAGCCAATCGGGGAGTGAACCAGAGGATGGAAAACCTCTCCCTCTCTCTCTGCCTCTGCCTTTCTGTAACTTTGCCTTTCAAATAAATAAATAAAATTTTCAGTTTAAACGTGCTATAGACTTACTGAATTTCAAGTCCCACAAGTGGTTGCCTTGGCAGGGCCAGAACAAATGATTTTGTAGGCCTTACACAGTTCATGAGCTGGACATTCCCCACCTCTGCTGGAATCTCATGGACTGCACAGAATACAAATACAGCTGGAGTCCTTGGAAAAGTAAAGACAGCAATCTGACTTACTAGAAATGCTGAATAAGTCTTAAATAGAAGAAATCACCCAGGAAAGAAAACAGAAGAAAGCTATTTTCCAAGACAGTGGGTAATAAATGCCAGAGTGACTGAGGGAAAGAAGGAGACACTGACATACTTATCTGTTAGGGCCAGAACAAACAGAATTTTCAGACTACTGACAAGGGGAGTCATGTCAGGGTTTAACCCTCAACAAAAAGAGAGGATCAGAAGCTTCAAGACAAATGATGAGGCAGGCAACAAACAATGATGACCAGAGCTAACAACATCAATCAAATGCTTACTATGCTTTAGATTGCCGAACACTGAACGTGCACTAAAACCAACACAACCTTATGAGTTACATACCAGTATTATGAAATGGAGATATGGGCAGGTCAGGAAACACACAAGGCCACACAGCTAAAGCCAAAGCCAGGACTCAAACCTACTGTCTGCCAGCAAAGTTCACACTCTTAAGCTGCAGTACAATTCATACTTAGGATGGATTTTACTCATTTTAAAATTTTATGTAAACTCCTAAAACATTTCTGAAGACATCCTATTAATTGAATTCACTGCAAGCATTAAAAAAAAATCCCCAGCCTCTACTCAGAAGCCCACACTGGAAGTAAAAAGGTACTAAGCTTAGAGCTAGGGATAAAAAAGACAAGACTCCTGTCCTTAGTAAATAGAATCCTTTACAAATTATCAAAAACTAATCAACTGTATTAAATTAAGCCAGACAGACCTGGGTAGCTTTGTGTTTCAGCTGTTTGCAGAAACTTCTCACATCAAAATCTGATGACTGCTCTGTGGAGATGGAAAAATCAGACACAAAACCTTAGTCATACACTTTCAGATTTATAACACATTGTTAAGTGCATGACATTTCTTGTCAAATTGCTGCAAAAGAAATAAAAGCTTAAAAAAGAAAAGCAAAGAACTATGACACAATAACAAAAACAAATAACTCTAAGTGCTCGTTTAGAAAATGCAAGCATCCCATACCCCTATTTTTATTTTTTTAAGATTTATTTATTTGAAAGGCAGAGTTACAGAGAGGCAGAGGCAGAGAGAGAGTCTTCCATCTGCTGGTTCACTCCCCAGATGGCCACAATGGTCAGAGCTGTGCTGATCTGAAGCCAGAAGCCAGGAACTTCTTCTGGGTCTCCCACATGGGTGCAGGTGCCCAAGGACTTGGGCCATCTTCTAACGCTTTCCCAGGCCATAGTAGAGAGCTGGATTGGAAGTAGAGCAGCCAGGACTCAAGTCGGCACCCACATGAAATGCTGGCACTGCAGGCAGCGGCTTTACCCACTACGCCACAGCACTGGCCCCTACCATACCTCTCTAAAGATAATCCACAATCAGAGCCAGTAGTGTGGTGTGGCAGCTTAAGGTACCACTTGTGAGACTGTCATCCCATACAGTGCCAGTGCAAGTCCTGGCTCCTCTAATTCTGATCCAGCTCCCAGCTAATTTGCCTGAGAAGACAGCAGATGATGGCCCAAGTACTTCGGTTCCTGCTATCCATGAGGAAGACCCACAGAGAGCTCTGGGCTCCTGGCTTTGGCCTGGGCCAGCCCTAGCTATTACGGCCACTGGGGGAGTGAACCAGCAGATGGAATACCTGACCCTCCCTCTTACTTTATCATTCTGCCTTTCAAATAAATAAATAAATAAATCTTTTTTAAAAGCAAGGGATGGAAGATAATCAATATGGATTGAAATTAAGAAGGGAGATGTTTAATTTCTACACAATGCATGTTTTTTTTTTTCTTTTTTAAAGTAGAATATGTGCTACCTGCAAGCAAATTACCTTTGGAGACTCTGTTATTCTTCACCGGCTGCCCAAGATCCACATTATGCTGTGTATCAATCTTCATTTGTTTTGCTTTTTTGGAAATTTTATGTAAGGTTTCTTCACTAGAGCTTGGTGACTGCGCTTTTGTTAAAAACAGTCTATTCAGCAATTTAGTTACTCCTTTAGCTGCAAAAGCTGTAGGTATTTTTTTCTGAAAAATGTCAAAATATGGCTGTCCTAGAAATTCAGCAATATCAGAAGGAAAGGTAAAATCTTTGAAGTAAGGCATTGGTTGAATCCTGGAGATCTGCTGAAGCAATCCAAACAATGGTTCATATAAGGAAACCAACCTTTTTAAAACACCTTTGTAGAGAACCCTAGAGAAAGAAACAGGAGCTATGAATCACCCAGCATTAAAATACACAAGATTATTATGATTAACTGCATGATAAAAAGACAAAAATAAATGACTATCAAGCTCTTGCACCACAGATTTTTAAAAACCTACAATACGTACTTGCAAATAGCCAGCACAAACAGAAACGTCAAAATAGAAATGTTACTCAACAAATACAGTATTACATGAAGAGGCGTGTCAAAGGATGCACAGCAATATTCTAGGGTGGTGTTGTCTATACGGTGAGATTTTAGGCAAATTTCTTTTTCTTCATATTTTTCATTTTTAATATTCTAAATTAATCACATTATCATCAATAATTACAGTTATTTTCATTGCAGAAAATAGCAAAGTTTAGTATTTTTAAATGATCAGTGATTCAAACAGTTTTACTTCTAATTAAAAGTAAGCAAAATTTTAAAAAGCAAGAGGATAGCAAACATACTTAAAATATCAAAGCAAAGTTTTCAATCTTGGAAGGCAAAAGAATTTTCTACCCTTGTACTTTCTTCGTTTTCTTTTCATTTTCTCACATTCAAATTAGAGATCCTAATTGTCTGAAATAGCCACAACAGATCTCCTTATAAACAGAGACAGATTCCAAGTGTCACTATCCATCAGACCAGTTTCATGATATATACCAATACATGCAGTACAGTGTCTGTACAGTCTGCAGGTATTACCAGAGTTCTTTATAACAACCAAATATGCTTCAAAAAGTAAAGGTGCAGGGCCGGCACTGTAATGGGTAAAGCCACCACCTGCAGTGCTAGCATCCCATATGGGTGCCGGTTCGAGTCCTGGATGTTGCACTTCCAATACAGCTCCCTGCTACTGTGCCTGGGAAAGCAGCAGCAGATGGCCCAAGTACTTGGGTCCCTGCACCTACATGGGAGACCTGGAAGAAGCTCCTAGCTCTTGGCTTCAGATTAGCCCATCTCTGGCCATTGCAGCCATTTGGGGAGTAAACCAGCAGATTAAAGATCTTTCTCTCTCCCTCTCTATCTAACTCTGCCTTTTAAATAAATAAATAAATAAATCTAATATAAAAAGCAAGAAAGCAAAGGTGCTTCCAGCAGAAGAAATTAGTCTGGAGCACATGGGAATGTCAAAATTGTATTTGTCACTGCCATTGCAAATTAGAAACCAAAGGTCAGAAACAAACAAGGCTACACCAGCCCATCATTTTCAATAGCCTTTTACAATATGATTATCCCAACAATTTCTTTACTCCTAGTCCTAGAAATACATCGTTTAGTTGTTCTATGGGTTGATCTCGTGGCTTCAAATATGAAGCTTACATCTTTGATATTACTCTTATCACTCAGCTTCCCAATCTACCTCTGCCAAATAGAAAAGGAACTCACACACCCACTCTATCCCATGGGAAAACAAATATGAAACTACTAGTAAGAAACCTAGGCCGAGGTAGAGAGAGAAAAAAGCAATGAAGGAGTTCAGAGGTAGATACGTACCATAATCTGCTCACCAGCCCAACCATCACAAGGTTTAATATAATGAACTCTTCCAAACCTAAATGCTTCACAGTCAAGCTAGAGAATGTGTTAAGGTGGGAAAACAAAACCAAAGTAATTTGGATTTCACAGTTTTTTTTTTTTTTTTGAAACTATGAAAGAAGAAATATATTCCAAGTAATAAGAATCTTTTGGAAAGCATTAAAGCCTTAAAAAATGTTCTATTTAGCTCATGGAAACTTAAAAATATAGTAATATATACTCTGCTACAGTTGTGATTATTAAATTTAGTTTCTGAGGTTTAGTTTCAAAGATTAAAAAGTTCTAGCTGCCCATGTTCTTAGGATAAACATACTCGATAGAGACAGGCATTCTTGGCAATGGCCACATCAGGCAATTCCTGGGGAAAGGAGACCAAGAAGCAAAATTCTAAGAATTTCCACAGGCTAAACCTCCCGCAGAGCCCAAAAAGAAGTGATTTCATTAGATTCGAGGATACAGAAATGTCTTGCAGCAGCGGTCCAACAAGCGGAGCAATAACTTGCAGGCTCCCAAAACCTTCAGCAGCACCAGCTCCACCACCGGTTGGCTGGGGAGCACGCATGTTTTGGTAGTGACAGGCTGATTTTCACTTGACAAAAATAGAAAAATACATTACTTTCACTTTTAAACACAGCACATTTCTCAAGGGATGACTTACTTGAAGTTCAATTTCAAGTTGCCACATTCAGTAACAACCCACTGATGTTTCACTATAACCTACCATGACCCAGATTTCAATTTCATTCCAGTCTCTCCCACAGACCAGCACAGGGAGATTTACTACCACAAACCCTAGGTGCCCTATATAAATATAAAATATGTACAGCTGAGGTATAATTGATTATACTCCAACAACATGTAGAGAAAAGTCCAAAAGCAGGTCACGAAAGTGTCAAATTTCCAGCCCACATCACAATGCACCTGGACCACTTACTTAGAGGAAAACGACTCAGACAAATCTTGAATAGAACCCTCCAAATTCATGTTTTTCAAACGTTTTAAACATTGTTCAACCTGAAAGACAAAGAGTAGCTCAAATTTATATATTTATCATGCAGATAGGGTCCCTTATATGACCAAGAAAACAAAAAGATCCAGATTTTCAAAGTATAGGGATACCTTAAATACTGCAGAGTAACTTTTTTGTGTATGTAAAGAAATTTCAAGCCAAAGCAATTGCTTCTGGTTATAAACCTGGAATTTATCCAGCCAAACAAATTTATCAAATCAGGCCATTAGTAAGTGTAAGATTATTTTCAAGATTATAATTTTGCTGAGGCAGTGCCATTTTTAAGAGTAAAACTATTAAAACAAGGTAGTAAATTATTAAATTCAGCAGTCTGTAAGTACCACAGAGATGAGAACAGTGGGTTAGTCGCTGGACAAATGTATACTGAACATCTATTACCTGTAAGGCAGACTGAGGAATAAAAAGGTATTTAAGACAATTCCCTATCTCTAGTTGGTAAAAATTAAGGAGTAAAAATAAAAGGATGTAGAAAACATTTAATACTAAAATAAAAATAGGTATATCTTATTTAAAATATAAAACTGTATTCCTCCTTCTGGGCTTCATAGCACTTATCACCATCTGACACATGATTAATTGTGTTTCTCTCCCAACAACATGCCTCACAAGGACCATATATTTTGTCCATTCTGTTCACCACCATTACCCAGTCCTTTGAACAGTGTCAAGAAGGCACTCAATAACATTTTAAATTTTTTGTTTTTTAAAAAATGTTAAAGGGGCCAGTGCCGTGGTGCACTAGGTTAATCCTCTGCCTGTGGCACCGGCATCCCATATGGACACCAGTTCTAGTCCCCCCAGTTGCTCCTCTTCCAGTCCAGCTCTCTGCTGTGGCCTGGGGAGGGCAGTGGAGGATGGCCCAAGTGTTTGGGCTCCTGCACCTGCATGGGAGACTGGGAAGAAGCACCTGGCTCCTGGCTTCGGATCGGTGCAGCTCCGACCATTGCGGCCATTTGGGAAGTGAACCAATGGAAGGAAGACCTTTCTCTCTGTATCTCTCTCTCACTGTCTGTAACTCTACCTGTCAAATAAAATAAATAAAATCTTAAAAAAAAGTCAGGACCAGCGCTATGGCACAGCGGGTTAACGCCCTGGCCTGAAGCGCCAGCATCCCATATGGGCTCCGGTTCTAGTCCTGGCTGCTCCACTTCCAATCCAGCTCTCTGCCATGGCCTGGGAGAACAGTAGAAGATGGCTCAAGTCCTTGGGCCCCTGCACCCACGTGGGAGACCCAGGGGAGGCTCCTGGTTCCTGGCTTCAGATCGGCACAGCTCTGGCCATTGCAGCCAATTGAGGAGTGAACCATTGCTGGAGGACCTCTCTCTCTCTCTCTGCCTCTCCTCTCTGTGTAACTCTGACTTTCAAGTAAATAAAAATAAATCTTAAAAAAAAATATCAACAGCCATACATTTGTACAAAATTTGAACAACTCTGTAGTCCTTAGACCACGAAGGGCATACACGCAACTGCATCAGACTGAAAAATGTAAAGATCTTGAGGGCCACAACAGTATCTTGCTGGAGCTACATCTACTATACAAAAAAGTGAATCCAAGTTCTGAACTCTAACTTAATAGCATAGTCCTTCAGAACAACAGAGACAACAATCCTGAAATTCCCTTATCTTTAAATTTTTAAGTCTGGACACCACCTTAGAGAGCTAGTGACAAACCAAGACAGTAAAGTACTTGGAAAACAGTAAGATAAGAAGTGAGACATTAAGAAGCAACTATTTTCTGTGCTCCATTTAGGGGAATGTTAGAGAAAGGATAATTCCAATACTGAACTTTTGATGGCAGAATAAAAAGTAAGTCTTACAGTACATAAAGCTGTCTGCAAACTGTAAAATGTGAAGCAGATACATGTAGAAATAGCGGTGGTAACATCAACTGCAGAAGCCACAGCTGCATAGGACATGCTCCGTTCCCTACCTAAGGAATCTCAGGGAACATAAAACATACCACAGAAATAACCATGCTACAGCACAGGCTCATTAAATGTTTTATGAAAAGTATAAACAAGAGGGCCAAAAACTGAGGACTTCAACTTCACTAATATTCAGAAAAATGCAACTTAAAATGGGATTACCATTCGACACACCTTGGAAATGTTACACCTTGGAAACAGCATTACTGTCAGGAAATGTAAAACGGGAGTTAGAGGAAGGCCCTCAAGAGGAGACATGGAGAGGCCGCGTAACTTGAATGTACAGGACTAGGTAGCCAGGAGTCTAAAGGGGAAGCCAACATGGTGAACCTTTAGACTCATCACAAATTCAGGCTGGCTGGAATGGAAGATATCTGAAGGTGAGAGGGAAATCCAAGTACAGAAGCCTGAAGAGGCCAGATCAAAGAAGATCTTGTAAGACAAGCTAAGGAGTTTGGTCTTTATGCAGAACACAGTAGAGAACCATTAAAAATCAAAGTTGTGTTTTAGGATAATCAACTGGGCTTTGCTGTAGAGAATATGCCGAGTGTAGGAAAGACTGGAGGAGGAAACCTCAGTTAGGATACTGAGACAACTATAAGCTGACAAGGTCTAAGAAAAGAATGGCAGCCAGAATGAAAGAAGGAACAGACGCAGAGAAAAGTCTGACCTCTCAATTAACCAGATGGGAGAGCTACATGAGAGGAAGAAACACAGACCACAGAGCATCAGATTTCTAACACTGGATGATTATTCACAACCTGAAGTCCATCAGCCAGAAAGCATGAGTCTGTAAGGCTGAAGACCGGGCTATATACGCACCAGCACCAAGGACAGTGCAGTTTAAGGTGGCTCTGTCATACAATAGGTAGCACTGGACTTCTGACCTGCAGCATTAATAAGGAAACAAATGAATGAGTATATAAGGAACCCAGATTAAGACACTCTACTCTGTGGTACTGTCCCTTGGCTAGAGAACCCAGTTTTACCATAAGCTCCAAAAATTACGTGAAACCACTTTACACCACAACTCACTGAAACTCCACCCATTCACTCCAACACACTACTGATTAGTTTATGCATAGTGCAACAATAGACTGTGACCTTGTTCAAAATTTTTATGATTTTTTTCAGGAAACTTTCATAATGTCTAACACTCTATATTGATCAAATCACTGTATCTTTGAACTGGGCAAAGGCACTGTTATTATAAATCACATATAATGAAGAACATGTTTACTTACCCACTAGAAACAAGACCTGCAAAGAATGAATCTAAACATCATTCTTTTCTAACAAAATTATTTTCGTAATGCTTTTAGGAAAAAAGACAGCCTGTATGTAACTGTAAGTCATCACACATAATTTACTGAGACTTCCGGAAATAACATCTGCATCAAGAAGCAGGCTGGATCTGAAACACAGGCTTGCTCCTCACCTGTTTGAGAGCTAGATGGGGTTTGTGACGGCCCATTCTGTTGTGATGGCTATAAAGGATTGCACATAACACATCTGCTTCAGCATCTAAGATTTGACTCCTTAGAGACAGTGTGACAAGACGGCATTCTCTGATGACAGCTCCGATGCAATGGTCTAAGACAAAGACATTTAACAACATTCAGTATGTATTTCTACATTACACGTATTATATAAAAATAACCAAAAGAAGCATCTCTCCGTATTTGCTTTAAAGGAATCAAGAACAAATTAATGTAATCAGCCTCAACTGTAAGAACACAATTCATGGTTCTAAGTACATGAGAAGTTGGACAATGGTGATAGATGGTATAAAGTTCAGAAATCACTAAGACATCAGTTAAACAAGAATGTTGATTATCACATTTTATCAGGACATTGCAGTCAGTCATTTGGTGTATTTACATATGTATCTTGAAGGTGGGACCCACAAGTATGCTTCTCTGAATCCGAGTCTTATTTTGCAATGCACATAAGCAAGACATAATAAATTCAGAGCCTGCAAAGTCAAAGGAACTGTAGTGTAGCAGGTTAAAGCCCCAGCCTGCACTGCCAGCATCCCACATGGGCAACAGTTAGAGTTCTGGCTGCTGCACTGCTGATCCAGTTCCCTACTAATGCACCTGGGAGAGCAGCAGAGGATGGCCCAACTCCTTGAGCCCCAACACCCACCTGGGAGACCTGGAAGAAGCTCCTGGCTCCTGGCTTTGGATTGGCTCAGCTCCAGCCATTGTGGCTATCTGGGGAGTAAACCAGTGGATGGAAGACCTCTCTCTCTGACTCTACCTCTTTCTGTAACACTTTCAAATAAATAAAAATAAATCTAAAAAAAAAGTCAAAAGAAACTGAATTTGTATGCCACTTGAAGAATTCACAATTGTGGACCAGCACTGTAGCAAGCACTGTAGCACAGTGGGGCAAGCTGCCACCTATGACTGGCTCTGGCAGTCCATGTGGGTGCAGGCTGGAGTCCCAGCTGCTTTCTTTCCAATCCAGCTCTCTGCAAATGTGCCTGGGATAGCAGAGAAAGATGGCCCAAGCACTTGGGTCCCTGCCATCCATATGGGAGACTGGGATGGAGTTTCAGGCTCCTGGCTTTAGCCTGGCCCAACCACAGCCATCACAGCCATTTGGGGAGTAAACCAGCAGATGGGAGATCTCTCTCTCCAAAACTCTGCCTTTCAAATAAATAAAATAAATATTTAAAAAAATACACAGTTGGCCCTTTGTATCCATTGGTTCTGCATCTGTGGATTCAACTAACCATGGATTGAAAATATTTGGGAAAAAAATGCCATCTGTACTAAATAGGTATATACTTTTTCTAGTCATTATTCCCTAAACAATACAGTATAACAACTATTTGCATAGCGTTTACATCCCATTAAGTATTGTAAGTAATCTAAAATTGACAAAACCACGGAGGAGAGGCAGGCATCTGGTTTAGTGGTTGGATCACCCTTGGGAAGCTCCAATCCCATATCAGATGGCCTGGTTTGAGTCCCAGTTCCCTGCTTGTCTTTCAGCTTCCTGTTAATGTGCACCAGGGAGGCAGGAGATGATGGCTCAAGTGCTGGCCCTGCCACTCATGTGGGAGACCTGGATGGAGTTCCCAGCTTTTTTTTTTTTTTTTTTTAAAGATTTTACTTATTTATTTGACAGAGTTACACAGAGAGAAGATGAGTCGGGGGTGGGGGGGGGGTCTTTCATCCGTTGGTTCACTCCTCAATTGGCAGCAATGGCCGGATTTGCGCCGATCCGAAGCCAGGAGCCAGGAGCTTCTTCCTGGTCTCCCACACAAGTGCAGAGGCCTAAGAACTTGGGCCACCTTTCACTGCTTTCCCAGGCCATAGCAGCGAGCTGGATCGGAAGAGGAGCAGCCAGGTCTCGAACTAGCGCCCATATGGGATGCCACCGCCACAGGGGGAGGATTAACCTACTGCACCATGGCGCTAGCCGATTCCCAGCTTCTTGCATCAGCCTGGCCCACCCCTGCCTGTTGTGGGTATGTAGGAAGTGAACCACTAGATGGAAGTTCTCTCTCTTACTGTCCCAACTACATGAAGAACTGGCTGCCTTGGGATGGGTTGGTGAATTGCCCATGCCTAATGGGAATCCTTACAGAATTTTTGGATAAAGGAAAAGGCAATTTAATTTGTAAGCTGCGTCGAGTGGACAGATAAAGGGACGCGATGATATGACAGGTTCTAAGTGTTTAAATTATGCTGTCTGAAGTGCATGGGCGATGCCCCATCTGCTGGGAGGTCGGGACACGGCGGATCCAGGCTTCTGGCGGCCTGAGAACATTGCGTTCCCACGCAGCACTTCTGGCGTTTCCCGTGTGAGCCTCTCTCCTCGGCGCAGGAGTTGGCCCTTGGCCTTTCATTGCTCGCGCGAAAGGGCTACGAAGCCACAGCCCCTAAAAGCGCCCTCAGCACACTCTCCCCAACTCCAGACCCGGCTCAGTCCCGGGCGCCCCGCGCCGCTTCCCAGAGTGCCACGGGCTCCGGAAGTCCCACCCCTGCCCCACGTGCGCCCGCCCCGGCTCCGCGGCCTCCTCCGGAAACGCCTGCCTTGCTGGCCCGGCGCCGCACTCACCCAGGTCCGCGCGGGGGTGCTGCACTGTCACCGTGCTGCGGCTCCCCGCTTTGGGGATCCTCACGCGGTTCCACGGCTCCTGGCCCGGCAGCATCGTAGCCATCTTGCGAGGTGGGGGAAAGGCCTGGGAAGGGCGAGGCTGGACCAGACCAAGTGGAGCCACTGCAGGAGGGGTGGATGAGACCAAGTCCGGGAGGAAGCGGGGGTAAGGGGCGGGGCCGGGGCGGGGCCAGGGGCTGGGAGCGAGGTCGCTTCCGGGAGTGGACGCGCTGGTCAGAAGCAGGGCGAGGAAGCCCGGGCCAAGTGCCGGAGGTAGGATGGACCCAAACAGCTTCCCGGCCCGCTTACTAAGCCCTGGCTGTGCATCGAAATCCCGGGGAAGACTTGAGAGACGGGGAGAAAACATCCCCGTACGACTCAGTCAAAATGGGCGCGCAGGGCACAACCAGGTTTGCAGCTGTGTGCTTTACATACATGGAAATTGAAGCCGAGATACACTCTCAATTTGGCCTCACGCAGTAGGGAAGAAAGAGATGAAATAAAGGTGCGTATACGTGTTGTGGCAGTTGCAATGAAGATGCGATGTACTCTGGATCAAGGGAGGCTTTGTCTTAACCTCGGGCAGCGCAAAACCGGGATCACACCAAAGAATCCCGGAGGTCGTCGGACTGTCCATCACCTCTGTCCTCTGTCAGTGTTCAAGGGGAGATGATATTCCAAGCGCTGCTGACCGTTCCTTTATTGTCTTTATTATTTATTTTGTTGGGAAGGCAGAGACTGTGTGTGCAATATCTTTCTAATAGTTCAAATATACTCCGCCACACTAATGCACCCTAAAGCACTTAACAGTGCCCAGTGTATTGAAATTAAAGATGCAAGTGGTAAGTTTGGGAGACAGCCTGCCAAAGTTCTAATTCTAGCTGCCCTGGATACTAGCCCTATGACCTCATGGGTCAAGTGAAGAAGATAATAATAATAACATTTACCTGATCCGATTGTAAGTTTCTTTAGACTACGTGGCATACAACATTTACTCTTAACCATGATTAATAATGTGGGTACTACTACTATTTAATGGAACCTTTCTGTGCTCTGTGCACCTCCGCACATAGTGCTTCCCCTACCTGGACCATGGGAATCCAGTCTCCCTGCCTCAGCTCCGGGGTCATTGCCTTCTGTGATTCTTCCTGAACACCCGTCCTTACTCCCTAACTTGATATAGAGACCCCTTGAGTGTATCAGCACAGTGCCCTAGGGGCTGTGTATTAATTCCCTGTTGCTGCATTACCATTGACATTACCACAAATGTAATGGCTCAAAACAACACAAAGCTATATTGGGCTTCTGGAAGTCGGAAGTCTGAAATCAGTGTCGTTGTACTAAAGTTAGCAGGGCTGGTTCCTTCTCAAGGATCCAAGGACGAGTTAGCTTCCTTGCCTCTTCCACCTTCTAGAGCCTGCCTTCATTCCTAGCTCGTGTCCCAATCCTGTGCCTTCAGTGTCAGTAGCACAGCATCGTCCAGTGTCCCCTCGCCTTCCTCTGCCTCACCCTCTCCTTGCCTCCCTCTAATCTTGATGTGAATGGAAGGGGAGAGGGAGTGGGAAAGGGGAGGGTTGCGGGTGGGAGGGACGTTATGGGGGGGAAGCCATTGTAATCCATAAGCTGTACTTTGGAAATTTATATTCATTAAATAAAAGTTAAAAAAATTTAAAAATAAAATAAATTACACACTGAAAAAAAAATACCCTGGTGTGTACATTTGGCCCATGGAGTTACCAGAAGAATCTCTGTCTCAGAATCTAACTGCATCACATCTACAAAGGCCCTTCTGCATGTAAGGAAACAGTCACAGATTCCAGGGATTAGGATGTGGACATCTTTGGGGGAACCCTTATTCAACCTACCACAGCCCCACAGAACTTAACCCACCGTTAGATTGAACTGACTATATTGTACTTGTAAGTTTATCCAATGACGTGAAATACTGAAGGCAGTACTATCAGTATGCTCTACTGGCTGTTACATCTCACTGCTAAGCTCAGACCTCAAAAATGAGAGATTAGGTGATGCTCAAAATAGTTTTTCAACGATAAATAGGAATTTCCAAGCAGTTAAAAGAAAAAGGATATTCCTGATGGAGAGGCATTAAAGAGTATGGAGTGAAGAATCGCTGTGGGTAGGTGTTGTTGAAGCAAGATGTATGCAGCCAGACGAAGCTGGGAGCGCTGATGTCAGATCATGGCAGAATTTAAATTTTTACCCTGAAAGCTAGTGGTTCCCAAAACTGACTGGTTGTTGAAATTAGCTGTAGCTGCATAGCTTTTGAAAATAGATTGCAGGCCTGGCTTTGGAAATTCTTACTCATTACTTCTGTGTAGGGCTTTCATCTGTGTTTTGTAAAAGATCCTTGTGATAGTCTGGGTTGAAGTGCGCTCACTGTGCCTGATAAAGTAGTCACTCATTGAGTCTAAGGTAGTACAATTTTGGTGGCTTTGCATCAAAGGAGGAGCACTGGAGAAGAGGCGTGAGGAGAAAGAGCTGGAAGCAAGGAGACCAGATAGGAATTTATGATGAAAGCTGAGGCCAGAAGTAAAAGCCTGAGCCTTTAAGCATTGTTTCTGGAGAAAGAAAGTAGACTTTACTTAGACGTCTGCTATTTAGATATTTGAATGTCCAGAATGACTTCAGGATTTTTGCCTTGAGTTTGAGATGGGACATTCAGAGCAGCAGATTTAGATAGGCGGCAGGGATAATGAGATACACTGAATTTGAGATTTCCCATGGGCTACTCACAAGAAAACATCCAAATCACCAGGTGAATAAATGGGACCATAGCTCAAAGGTGATAGCAAAAGGAGGAATTAGAAACAGTGACTGCCGGATAATGTTTCTAGATGTTTACATGAGAAGGGAAGATGAGAGTTTATGTGGTGACAGATGCAGGATCAAGAAGGGTATTGTTTGGTTTTGCTATGGTTTGAAGGATGGTGACACAATCAGGATCCCAACAAACACCAATTGGACATATAAAGGGATTTATTGGGGGAAAATGGCGTATGCAATTGTAGGGGTTGAATAGGAAAGCCCAAAACCCATAGGGAAGACTGAAGGCTCAAGCAGGAGCTGAAATTGCAGTCCACATGTGGAACAATTTTTGATTATACATCCGGGTGGTTTTTTAAGCAGTTTAGAAACTGTACACTGTGATCTCATGAAAAAATCCACATCCACACAGCAAGGGAAAGGTCTGGATGAATTGAAAAATATTAACAGTGGCCATCTTTCCTCTTCTATGAACTTGGTTATATTTTTCTACAGAAAGAAGGATGAGGTTCCAGCATCGTGGCATAGTGGGTAAAGCCACCACTTGTGACACTGGCATCCCATATCGGCGCCGGTTCAAGTTCCAGCTCCACTTCCAATCCAGCTCCCTGTTAACATGCCTGGGAAAAGCAGCAGAAGAGGGCCCAAGTACTTGGGCTCCTGTACCCATGTGGGAGATCCAGATAAACCTCTTGGCTTCTGACTTCAGCCAGGCCTAGCCCTGGCCATTGCAGCCATCTGGAGAGTGAACCACCTTTGGAAGACCTCTCTGTAACTCTGAAATTAAATTAAAAAAAATCTTTTTTAAAAAAATGAGAGAGAAAGAAGAAAAATATTGTTACTGTTAGAAAAAAAATTATTTTAATGCCAAAATACTGTGTACCAAAATCTTGAGAGGCATGTGTATATGTGTGTGTGCATGTTCACACATGCACATGTGTGCACATGAACCTATATATTCAGAGACATAAATTTTTGACCCATTTACCTATGGCCTTTCACCCCAGTCGGGGGCGGGGGGTGCTTCTGTTATTTGTTCTGTGATGCTGGAACTAGAACTCAGTAAGCTACATTGTCTTTGCCGGCTGGTAGTTTTACCAAAATTGGCCACCAGAGGGCGGTGGAAGGCAATTAGAAGAGAGAAGGTACTTTCGTGCTCTCTGATCCCTGGCAGTGTTGACCCGAAGAGTTCTTCAGTCCAAGTGATGACAGTTGATTCTGACTGTTTCTGACACACTCCCAGAACTATCCTCAGAGGTATGGTAGCTCCAGATGGTGCTGTCTCAGAGATCTGAGTCCCCATGGCCAGGTCCCTCTCTGCGGGTTTAAATTCTGGTAACTCCAAATTCTTGGCCAGCCCTGGTGGCTGCGATTGCTTCCAGGGGTTATTTTTGTGTTAGCCCAGTGTTTCATTTTTCCCCAATTCTTATATTCCTTTACCTTTCTCTGCTGAAATAGATGTAGTGTTCTGGCTTACTGATGGGCTCTGACATTATGCCACCAGAAGTGGTCCCAGAAAACAGCCCTTCAAAAATGATATACAGTAGTTTGGTGATTTCCTTAGCTTTGACCGCAGTAACGATCTCTTTATCAAGGGAAAGTGGGGTATGAGAAACCCATGGTTTGTGTTTAATTGCCCAAGGTGGATTGTGACGAGGCGCCCTCTGAAGTCCTTGGGGACCCTAGGAGGATTGCAGAGGCAGCGCTGCCTCTCAGAGCACTGGGTAGTCTACGGGAAATGACAAGCTCGGGTCTTCAGTTCTTAGCTCAAGTCACAGAGAATCAGGGAGCTTCTAGTAATCCTAAAAGAACTGTTTTTATCTTCAGGACTGACCTTGACCCAAATTTAATTATGTGGGTTGCTGAATTACAACCCGAATTATAAATTCATAGACTCACAGTCTTATGTGAAAGAGTATTGACTAGTGAGAAGGACTCTGGGCCTTGTAATAGGAACCAGCCAATTGGGCTCTGGGAAAACTGGGACTGTGCAAGCAGCAGGCCTGCCCTCCTGTGTCTCAGGAGACTTGGGTGAAGGTCTTGCAACAACCTCACAAACCACCCCAACCACACTCATCACTTCTAAAGTTACAATCCCCAGCCTCTGGTTTGCCAGCTTTGGTTAACTTGCTGTGCTTTTCTCTTGATAATCTCTTGTTAAAGGGGTGTCAGCCATGAACCTTGCAATGGATAAGGAAATGATACTACTTTTTCTCCTCTACAATGTCCATGTGTCAGTTATCCATTGCTGGTGAGCAAGCAATAGCCTGGTAACCTAACAGTCATTTTAATACTCAGTGTCCTGGGGCCGGCGCTGTGGCACAGCAGGTTAACTCCTTGGCCTGAAGTGCCAGCATCCCATATGGATGCTAGTTATAGTCCCAGCTGCTCCACTTCCGATCCAGCTCTCTGCTATGGCCTAGGAAAGCAGTGGAAGATGGCCCAAGTCCTTGGGCCCCTGCACCCACGTGGGAGACCTGGAAGAGCTCCTGGCTCCTGACTTGGGATCAGCGCAGCTCCAGCTATTACAGCCATTTGGGGAGTGAACCATCGGATGGAGGTTCTCTCTCTCTCTCTCTCTCTGCCTCTCCTCTCTCTGTGTAACTCTGACTTTCAAAAAAATAAATAAATCTTTAAAAAAATACTTACTGTCCTGTGGCTCAGGAATTTAGGGCTCTGCAGGGATGACTTATCCATTGCTCCTTCACGTGATGGTATTGGCTGGGGTAGCTTGTCTGGATCTAGAGGATCCAAGATGGCTTCACTTGGGCAACTGGTATCCCTTCTGGAGTGGCTCACATGGCTGAGAGTGCAGTGGAATGGCTAGGTCTCCCTCTTCTTGGGGCATTAAATGGGCTCACACTCATGTCTGAGGCCCTAGTGCACCTCCATGTGGCTTCTGTCTCCAAGTGGTTTCACATCTTGTAGGACATACCTTTCCAATGAACCCTCTCTCCAATAGGACTCCCTGTATAGTAACTGAGATCCACGCTGAGCAAAAGCAAATGCCTCCTAAGAGCTCAGAAGTCCTCAAATGCCACTTCCACCACACCCTACTGGTCAACATTTCTGATTCATCAAGTTCAGCTCTTGTTGGGGAAAACAGTAAAGACACATTGCAAAGAAGCATAGGGATAGGGAAACATGGTTTGTTTACTCATTGGGAGCCATTTATAATGACCTACTACAGTTTATGAAGCATTTCCTCTTAAAATGCTGCTTTGTAAATAACACCCATAGTATAAAAAAGAATAAGATACCAAACACTCTAGAAATACCAAAGAGCAGCCGGCACCATGGCTCTCTTGGCTAATCCTCTGCCTGTAACACTGGCACCCCGGGTTCTGGTCCTGGTTGGGGCGCTGGGTACTAGTCCCGGTTGCCCCTCTTCCAGTCCAGCTCTCTGCTGTGGCCTGGGAGGGCAGTGGAGGATGGCTCAAGTGCTTGGGTCCCTGCACCTGCATGGGAGACTGGGAGGAAGCACCTGGCTCCTGGCTTCGGATTGGCTCAGCGCCGGCCATGGCAGCCATTAGGGGAGTGAACCAACGGAAGGAAGACTTTTCTCTCTGTCTCTCTCTCACTATCTCTCTCTCTCTCTCTCTCTCTCTCTCACTGTCTAACTCTGCCTGGCAAAAAAAATAAAAATACAAAATAAAGAAATACAAAAGAGCTCAAATGCAATTGCTCTTTTTTCCTCACCCACATTGTCTTCATTATATTGTCATTCAGAATTTTGTGCTCTTTCCTTCGTGTAATCTTGAAACCTCCTTGGGCCCTGTCATTATCTCTATCCAAGCAGCTATGAGAAGGGGGAACAGGGCAAGTATTTGACGTAGCAGTTAAGATACCACTTGGGGCCGGCGCCGCGGCTCACTAGGCTAACCCTCCGCCTAGCGGCGCCGGCACACCGGGTTCTAGTCCCGGTGGGGGCGCCGGATTCTGTCCCCGTTGCCCCTCTTCCAGGCCAGCTCTCTGCTGTGGCCAGGGAGTGCAGTGGAGGATGGCCCAGGTGCTTGGGCCCTGCACCCCATGGGAGACCAGGAAAAGCACCTGGCTCCTGCCTTCGGATCAGCGCGGTGCGCCGGCCGCAGCGCGCCGGCCGCGGCGGCCATTGGAGGGTGAACCAACGGCAAAGGAAGACCTTTCTCTCTGTCTCTCTCTCTCTCTCTCACTGTCCACTCTGCCTGTCAAAAAATAAAAAAATAAATAAAAATAAATAAATAAATAAAAAAAAGATACCACTTGGGATGCCCATATCTCATATTGGAGTTCAAGTCCTAGATGCACTTCTGATTCCAGCTTCCTGTGAATGCACACCCTGAGAGACTGTATGTGATGCCCAAGTAGTCAGTCCGTGCCACCTACATGGGAGATCAAGGTTGAATTCTGAGCTTCTGGCTTCAGTCTGGTGCTGTTTCAGACATTTGGGGAATGAAGCATCAGATGGAAGATCTCGCTTTCTTGTGCTCTCTCTCACTCTCACACGCACACACACAGACACACATACTACTTTCTGTCGCTCTGCCTTTCAAATGAATAAATCTTTAGAAGAAGAAGAGGGGGAAGTAGGGGGCACTTCCTTTCTCAAGTCCTGGCATCAGGACTGCCTCTGCCTGACAGGGTGAGGGCCAGGGGCACAGGAAATGCTGGGTTCAGCCTGGGGCAGGGGTTCCCATCAGCGATGATCACATGATACCCAGGGTCCTGAAGAACTGAAGAGTGGTGGGCATGGCTTTAGGTTGAAGAAGATGATCCAGACTCCCAGGATGGGAAAGAGGTGTGTTCCTCATTCACTCCCCCCCACTTCATCTTAGAGACCGGATCCTCTCCATCCCACCCCCCTTCATCCCAGGAGCTTCGTTGTCCTGTCTCCAGTCCCCTTCACATCCACTTCACTTCATGCACTCTCAAGTCACGTACCAGTTCTCCCTGTCAGTCAAAGGTGTTCTGTCTCTGAAATCATCAATCCAGACATTTCTCTGTCAGACAGTAGCTTCCTATTTGTCAGCTTTCTCACTCAAGTTACCCCTTACACATTTGCCCTTTTTTAAAAAAAAAAAAAGATTTATTTATTTATTTGAAAGAGTTACAGAGAGGCAGAGAGAGAGAGAGAGAGAGGTCTTCCATCTGCTGGTTCACTCCCTAAATGGCCACAATGGCAGGAGCTGAGCCAATCTGAAGCCAAGAGCCAGGAGCTTCTTTGGGTTTCCCATGTGGGTGCAGGGGCCCAAGGACTTGAGCCATCTTCTACTGCTTTCCCAGGCCACAGCAGAGAGCTGGGTCAGAAGTAGGGCAGCCAGGACTCTAACCAACACCCATATGGGATGCCAGCACTGCAGGCAGTGGCTTTACCCTCTGCGCCACAGCGCTGGCCCCCACATTTGCCTTAAGCCTCATTGAACCACCAGTGCCCAATCCCCTCTTCTTCCTCACTGGTACATTTCTTTCCTGAGCCTCAGACTTCAAAGTAGGCCACTGGAGTATCCACCTGCATCTGATGATCCTGAAGCACCTCCTAGTCAGGGTGAACCCGACTGAGCTCCCTCTACCCCCTCCCCTGAAAACGTGCACCTCTGTCTGTGTCCACTGAATGACATACTGGCCACCCAGCTATCCAGTCTATCACCCAGGCATTCTCTTTCCTAGAGCATGACTTTCCTCCTGCATGGTCAATGCCTTCTTAATAATGAAGTCTGTGCTTCTTAACATGGTTTACAAAGCCTACAAGACTTGGGTTAAATACTGCCTGCTGTTCAACAAGATCCACGCTCTGCCCT